AAAAATGAATGGCGAAATTCGTTGGTAAATGAAACGACCGAGAACAGTTCAAAGAGAAATTTTGAAATATCATAGATAAATATCTATAGAAAATTTAATTTAGAATTAAACGAGCATCGTTGCTGAGTCAATAACCTGTCAAGATGTACTGCTGCTGGTTACGGGTTCGATCCCCCATGAAGAACTCTTTTTTCATCTTCTTTTTTTTTCATTTTACTACAAAAATTGTTCAAGGTTCCTCTCTTTTAACCATTCTAGGTTGCCCAAACCTTATTTAAAGTTTGTATATATTTTTTAAAATTTTATCTATGACAGAATCGACTAATATTTTAAACGCCCGCTCGTGTCGCGCGACTGGCGACTTGAGCGATTGCGGATCCTCTCTCGCTGAGGGGTCTGCTATTGCTGTTACTGCTGCCGCTGGTTCTTATAATCTTATAAATACTTTTTTATTTGCAATCTTCAGTTGCAGCGCCCAGTGTAAACTCAATAAGATTTACTATGAGAAAATAATTAGCTCACTTTATTACCTGGAATCAATAATCTTGGGAAGCAAATATGGAAATGAGCATTATCTCTGTCAGTAACTGTTCGTCCACGTGGTTCGTCCAGGTGGCGCCAAAGTTCTTAACTGGTGTGCATCTTCATATTATTCTGCTTATATGTAAAGTAAGCGAAACGACAATAGTAAGCAGTTGAATAAACGATGAAATTCTGGAAATATAACTTCCGAAAAAAGTAAAACGAACAGATATTTCTGGCGTCTGGCTAGTGCACCCGGTTACGAATCGGGAGGTCTATGGTTCGAGACCCCTCTATGGAGAGCACCTTCTTTTTACAAAAAAAAATGTGCTTTTGCAAATGGGATTAACAGATTAAAGAGTATATCCAATTAATTTATTTATCTTATTAAAATAAAGGCATCACAACGACAACCTGCGGTCTTCCACATCACCCAAGAGGTGCCGCAGTCGATATGTTCCTATTATTTAACGTAGCGGGTCCCCACTAGACCTATACTACGATCAGCGATATCAACATTACACAAACGATCTAAATTGAGAAAAGGACAATTATTGGGAAGAATAGTATATCGGCCTATTGAGATCACGTACTGGCGACTTCAACACAACAGTCTAGGAATCTGACGGATCGAATCTGAGCGGGCGTCTGCAACAATGTTGCTAACTATCGGGCGACTAGCAACACACATTGGGGCCTGCAGCGTCAGGTCGTTCACAGTCGTACAGACAGCAGTATCATGGTAAGTAGTTCTTCAATAGTTATAAGAAAACAAGACGCAACACGTCTCATGTTCATTTTATTACTATGAAGGATATTGCGAGAGAGAGAAAATATATAAACTTAAAATGAAGTTTGGGCAACCTAGAAAGATTAAAAGAGAGGAACCTTGAACTATTTTCGTAGTAAAATAAAAAAAAAGGATGAAAACAAAGTTCTTCATGGGGGATCGAACCCGTAACCAGCAGCAGTACCTCTTGACAGGTTATTGACTCAGCAACGATGCTCGTTTAATTCTAAATTAAATTTTCTATAGATATTGTAGGATTCAAGTAGATGAAAAAGAAAAACAATAATAGACAAGCCTAGGCTGCTCATCCTAGGCTTATAGAAGCGAATGTCTCGGTGTGTATGCGTGTGGATGGATGGATATAGGAGAAAGATGTACGGGCAGTAATGGACACGACGTTGTAAAGGCCGGACAAAATAAAAAGAGAAACCTCCAAGTTACGAGAGCAGTGATTTTGCGCCTTCCCTATCTATACCTATATAAAAGATCCTACAATATTTATCTATGATATTTCAAAATTTCTCTTTGAACTGTTCTCGGTCGTTTCATTTACCAACGAATTTCGCCATTCATTTTTTAATGTTCACTTTCGACATGATAAGAGGTAAAGAGTGAAAACCAATACTTCTATGCATTTTTTATAACTTTGAAATTTATTTGAATATACACATTTGCTTGCGCATTACGTCCATACAAATGTTTAGGGTTCGGTTGGACGGAAGACCTTGCTGCCCCGCCTGTTTGTCAAGAACGGTTTGTTAGGGGCGGCATCATTTTTCCCACCATCGAGCATTCCATTCATTTTCGCTGACTGCAATATCGGCTGGAACGATGGTCATGACCGCGCGGCTACGAGAAATCTGTAACATCGACAGAGGCGTTGATCACGAAATCCTACTCCCGGACTCGCCGCTACGATTTAGCGCCATGCTTTTGGTATCGCCTAAAACCGGAGCGTTGTGCATTTCCCTATTCATCTCTGCTCTGACGTAGCTTTGTGCATCTCCTACTCATCTGTGACAAAACAATACAGAAGAAAAGTCAACAGATTGGTTAACCTACTAAATTGTTAATAAAATATCTGTCAATATATTCTAAAAGAATAGCAGACCATATCTTCATATATAGATCATTCAAATACTTTTTATCATAGTAGTTTCAACGCATAAATTGAATTATATTTCCTTTAGAAGTAGACGAGCTTTGTATATAAGGCTGTTAATTTGGTACATTTTATTGGGAATTTGTTAGAGGAGCTCACGCTCCAAAACAACAAACATTACGAGCGAACAGAAACGTCGTACTATTCTTAATCCTAAGGAAGAACCTAGTACACACGCTAGCAAAATGCCAGCTGTAATAGTTGGGCCTCCACAACGTAGTGAGCAAATGTGGCAGGCCCTTAAAACACATATAACAAGAGAACGTCAGCGAAAGAAACAAGGTAAAGTTTTTAATGATATAAACGATATTACATGTACTTTATTAAATTTTCATGTATATTCATTCATCTTTTCTTCAGAACAAGAAGCAGATGCTGAAGAAGAACGCCAACGTAAAGAAAGAGAAAGGCAACAAAAGCAAGATGTAATGACTCTAGGAGAAACTCGGGAACAAATTTCTAATTTGGAAAATGAATTATCACAGTTGAAAGATGAGAAACATCAATTATTTTTACAACTCAAAAAAGTCCTTAATGAAGATGACAATAGAAGACGCCAGATTAAAGAATCAAGGTTGATTATTGAAAAATATCCCAACTTAACCATTTCTAATTTATTTTAAATTTGCCATTTTTATTGTGCAGTGTTTGCCCAGATGTGTTATCAGCTGTTGGAGGATATCCTGGTACTTGTGCAAATGTTGTACATCCACAGTTGTTTCTGCCTTTGCCAACACGTAGTCCCCTTTATAAGGTGGCTGCTGCTACACCAACGCACACCTTACTCCCTAGTGTAACTATATCCCTATTGCTTATCCACTTGTACTTAACTGTATTTGTCTATATTATGAATTTAATATGATTTGGTGTTTTTAGGGTCCATTGAAGAGGACACATAGTCCATCACCTCCACCAACAGCTTCACCATATCATGCAGGGTATGGTTACAAACCTCCGCCATCCATCCCAAGTTATAATCCACCTCCAGCAAGTAAGTTTATTAAAATATATTGAACACAAAGTAGTATTTGGCATTCCATAGAAGATAGTTTAAATAAATGGGCTTTCACACACGTTTGTGCCTTGAAACGTTGTGACGATTAATCTGGGTAGAAGTAGGAAATAGGGGAACTGAGGGCAGATGGTTGTATTTTTACAGAATCGGAGGAGGCTGCCAGGAGGTCTGGCGATTCCCGAGCCGTCCTCTGGAATAGTGAGTGGATTATCGTTCTTTAACATTTTTCATCACCTCATTAACCGAATTCAAAGAGCAGCGTAACGTTTCAGGTTAATTCAATATACAAGAATTACACAAGCCTGAAATAGATTGCCAATTGAATAATAGCATTAAACAGAATCGCGATATATGAACAATAATACTAATATCATTTATTCCCACAGAAAGCAGGGTCTGAACGATTTGGTAATGATAACCAAAGAAGTACAGATTGAAATCCATTAACAATAACCCTATTAGATTTTATTAAGTGTACTAGGACAGTCTGTACCTCCACTTCTTTAAATACTTAATTGCTGCTATTTCGCAGAAAACAATCAGTATCCAGATTCCCGTTTCTACTCAGCACCTGCCGGTCCAAGCGTCTACAGATATACCGTACCTACGTCCCAGCCATCAAGAGAACCTGAGCCTGGTAAACCAGTATATTTATCGGGTAACAGGACTACGTTATCAACTCATCAAACCGGTGAGTTATCGGTTTCACTAAATAAAACTATAATATTAACACTAAATCAGCATTTGTAAAAATTGTTCTATATATTTTTATATAGCATATGTTACCAGTCTGCATCCTTTGGAACAGAAAGGTGCTTATGCAGAAGATAAATTTTATTTGCGCCCGAGTAGCCACGTTACTGTTCATGGTGGTGCAATCCCTATTCAACAGCCTCCTCAGGTAATTAGAAAGCAAAAACATAATCACTATACAGGGTGAATCATGAATCGTGATCAGTAGAGATTACTTTGTTATTAGCAGTCCGATCGAACATGTTTTTATTAGCTTTAGTATGGTTTGAAGAGAGCTTTAACGTTATAGTGAAAAATTATTGGTCAACTGTTTTTTAAATGTTTTTTCAAGGTTACCTTGAATTTTTTGCAACTGAACATATAATTTGTTACGCCTGTCTGTTAGAGGATTTCAAGACGAATTTGGTACATGTAAGGGCATGACATTTTTTTCATTTGATTCGAAAGAAAATTTAAAAACTTTGTATCACAAGGAGAATCACAGCTACGCCGTTATTACGCATCCAATCTTGTTGACAAGTCAAAATTTACCAATCTTAATTGTAGCAATGTTCAAAATATTTCATCTGGTTCGAAAGGAAATTTAAAAACTTTGTATCACAAGGAGAATCACAGCTACGCCGTTATTACGCATCCAATGTTGTTGACAAGTCAAAATTACTTACCGATCTTACTCCATTAGATTACTTTTTGTGGGGTACATTAAAAGACAAAGTTTATGCAGATGCTCCAACAACACCGGAAGATATGCGACGAAGGATTGCGGATGCATGCTCAACCATCAGTGTAGAGGCCATAAAGAATGCAAAACAATCTTTTGTTCACCCTCTACGCGAGTGCATTGCAGCTCGTGGACACCATTTTGAACATCGCTACAATTAAGATTGGTAAAGTTTGACTTGTCAACAACATTGGTTGCGTAATAACGGCGTAGCTGTGATTCTCCTTGTGATACAAAGTTTTTAAATTTCCTTTCGAACCAGATGAAAAAAATGCCATGTCCTTACATGTACCGAATTTGTCTTGAAATCCTCTGACAGGCGTAAAAAAATTATATGTTCAGTTGCAAAAAATTCAAGGTAACCTTGCAAAAACATTAAAAAAAAGAGTTGACCAGTAATTTTTTACTATCACGTAACAGCTCTCTTGAAACCATGCAAAAGCTGATAAAAACATTTTCGATCCGACTGCTAATAACAAAGTAATCTCTACTGATCACGATTCGTGATTCACCCTGTATACAATACATTCATACGTAACTATTTATTATAATTTATAATAATTATGTTTAAAGGGCGCAAAGACTGGCGGTATTACTTCTGGATATCCCGTGAGAGCTCCTCAGCCACCACCTGGACCATACCCGCCGCAGGCTCCAGGAACATACGTCGGCGCTGCTAGTGGTAATGTCCCAGGTCAGTTATTATACACACAACCTGGTGCACGGTATCTTCAGCGCGAGGTCTAACGTATTTTAAGTGGATGTGGTTATTGCAATTGTATGCGATGCTAAAGTTCAGTACGTTTAAAGACTGGTGTTTTATGTATCTTATATACTATATTCAAATTAACGGTGGAAATAGTATATTATATTAACTGTATATATAAATATATATAGCATATCTTGTTAAAAATAATGCTAATTGATTATAACTTCAAATGAAACATTATAGTAATTTCGTATCTCAAATTTAACAACAGTTCAGCAATTGCAAAATAAGATGTATTAGTATTGAAAACAATAGTGCACTTATCATAATAAAAAAAATTTAATTTTTTGTTAAACTTCGTAACAGGCATGGCTGAAAAATAGTTCCACATGTACACAAATCTGCTTGTAACATTTTATTACATCATTCAAGAATTCAAAAATCAAGTTACATATGTTTAGTTAACTAGTATGAAACAAAACAAATACATAATACTTTCAATATTGTAACACATTACCCTTATAACGTAAACGAAATAACAAATAAATTATGTTACTTATCTTAACGTTTTGTAAAAAAAAAAAGGAATTATGTTCTTTCTCCCATTATTCTATTATTCAGATTAATAAAAAAAATACTCTATCTTAATGTAAAATGTCATGGATCAGACTCCTCTTTGGTACTTCGTTAAAAAAATGTAAATTATTGAAAAGAAATCATTCAATAATTGAAGATACCCATATTTTCTTCCTGTTGTCTGTGTTCAGCAGAGAACAGATGATTACGAAGCTGCATAACGCCATACACTTGTTTGCTACATAATTTGCAAAGAATCTCTTCTTTAACTTCATGTACATCCCTGTTAAATGTCAATCATGATAATAACATGAGATAATTTTATCAAATTAGTCTAATAGTTCCACTTACTTTGACGCGAGACTTCGCAGAGTTGCTACGTGGATCAACATCTGTTCTTTCTTGTCATCTTGTTGCAACAATTCCAAGGCACAATGTAGATTGTAAATATTGTTTCTCGTCATGTTCAAATTGCCTGGTTGGAGAAGTTCACTGTCGTCATATAAGTTCCATTTTCCAAATAGACACTCCATCCTACAGTCAAGGTCTGGGTTCAGAGATTTTCTTGTTTTTTCTATTACTTTTTCGAAGGATCGTTTTATTTTGTTCTGGCACACTGCCATTTCATCCATGTTCACGCAATCAGTAAAGTCTTTATTCACATGTATTCCTATGTTCATCCAGTGACGTAATATATTAATCTAAGAATCAGTACACCAAGTAACATATAGAAATGCATTTTCTCAATCTCTATATTATCAACACGCATAATATGTACTTAATATTTTACTTACGTCTTGCAAGTCATCCAATGAGATCTCAACATCAAACATTATTTGCATATCATGTTCAGGGAAGAGACTGGATTTTCTACGGTGATCATATCCTAGTCCGCACAATGCTCCTGTGTAATGAGTTCCTGAGTAATTACGTCGTAATTCCATCTGAGGAGCGAAAAGTAATGCGATCAACGCAGTCAATCCAGGAATAGAAGGCAAGAGCGTGGTGTTTCTCAAGATCAGTCGATCACCATTCGCAGATTGACTAACTGTTCCTGCTACTAAGAGTCGTTCTTGTGGATTTTCAGGATTTGTATCTAATAGAACAGAGTTTACGGAACTCCAATCAATTTTGGCTCTTTTACTTCTGCCTATGTATGGTAGGTGAATAAGTTCCATTTCCAAAGGAGAAAATGGACCCCTTAGAGTCACCGTGCTGTGACAATCTGCGACGCTTGGCGGTTCAGGATAGTAATTCGGTGTGTAACTTTGACTATACTGTAATCTTTCATAATAACGCTGCTGTTCTGTTGTCATCTCCGTATATTTCTCACGAAGTTCATGGTTTGCACGTGATAAATAATTCTCTTCTTTGTGCGTTGCATAGTTATTTTCAATCAAAACTTGATTGACACTAGTTGTGCTCATTTTGGTATCAACGCAGATCAATTCCAGCGACACGATGCTATTCACTACTGAATATATTTTCCCGTAGAGTTGGTAATTGCCGGTGATGAGCCGGTAAAATTCATTACGCGCTTCTTTAGACCATTCTTCGTCACTGTAATTGTGCTGAGCCGACGGACAGATATTGCACAAAACACATTCAAATGCTAGAGCAGGAACAGCATCGATACCATTCCAGTTCTCCAGATGTCTTAAATCAGTCCAGCGTATATGGACTGTATCACCATAATCGACAAATAAGATTTCCGCTATCAGATCTCGAGCCTTCATTGAGTAACTTTTAACAATAGCCCTGTAGTTTTTCATGTCACTGGTATCTCGGTAAGGCGCGATTACTAGAGACCCGATTTCCGGATTTGTTAAAAATGGTTTTAAGTCTTCTTTGTGAGAATTAATATAGGCTTCTATTTCTCTCACGGTATTGAATAAATCATTGTCCTTTACATGAGCCCAAAAATGACCGGGATCCACAATCTAAATAAAAGGAATTGTCTTAATTATCTCAATAATACATTGCAAGATAATATAAGGATTTTATACATACGTTTACGATTTCTAATGCGATGTATGAGTTATCAAAACCGGGCAGGATTGGTCTCACTGCATGAACATATGGCGGGTCTTTTTGTTCTTTATTCTTCTGTATGAATGAATTGTAGGATCGTTCATTTAAATTCAATGCCGCAGCTTTCTCATTTGACAATTTTTCATTCAAAACTGGTATCGGGAGGTTCGGGAAGAGTTGTCTCAACTTAATAGCCTTGTATACGGAAAGGCATACTTTTCCTGGAACTGTCGCTGTTCGTTGTTCTTCCTGATCGACAGGAGTCTGATCCTTGCCGAATTGGACATAGATACGAGAAGAACCGTCGAAAGAAATTTTCATGGATTCCTCCGACTGTGTTAGGCATGGTTTCATAGCGTCAAGTATCCTTCTAGCATACAAAGCTCCTGGCTGTGTGGTCGGCCAACCTTGCAAATAAACAGTATTCGTAGGATCTAGTCCACCTAATACTTTTATTGCTTCATATTCGTTGCTGCCATCGATCGGTATACGTCGAACAAAATAATTCGGATAAAATGCTCCCGCAATGACGACTTTTAGTATGAAATGCCTGTCAATATCTTTCCAAATGACTTTGTTTAGACCAACAGTTTCTACAATTCCTACTCTTTTTAGCCGAAGAGTTATATCCTGCACCAAGGCTTCTACCTCACGTAATACTCTTATCTGAATGAATTGACGTTGAGCCCAACTTTTTTCTGCGGCGTTGCTGGTGATGTGACGCATGGCTTTACGTCTCGTCCACACATTATAGACATTTAAGAAAGCCAAGCAATCGCTGTTGGTATTAAGTGCCCAGGCTAATTTAGCATTGTATGCATCTAATTTCCCTTGGAAAGGGCTACTAAACATGTTCTTTACGGCCATGCTAGCACCTATTATTATTGTATCGTGTAAGACACTAAAGACATGCCCCAGTGCTATTAATTTTGCAATATGAATGTCCATGGGAAGGCAGGCCATTATTCTTCCCAAATCGGATAGGTCGCCATCTAAACGTCGCAAATCATCACTGTTGTGTAAAAGGGCACCAGCCTCTTTTAATATCAGCACTGTTCTTTCCAAGTTACTCAAATCAGGTGGATCCAGTGAAAGTGCAAGTATGGCTTTGGGTTCACCCATATCCAGACATTTTGCATTGAGAACTAAATGTTCTAGTGGGGCTCGTAACATTTCAGGTGCTCCTTCTTCCGGTAAACAATTCTACGAGTTACACGAAAAAAATTAAAATTTTATAAAAGTTCATAATATCAATATTTTAAACAGCATATTTAAAATTTTTGTATACGTACTTCGAAAAAACTTTTCGTTACTATTCTGTAAACTCTTCCATCCATCACCCGTCCAGTACGACCAGCTCGTTGATCACAATTTGCTTTGCTTGCCCACACAAGTTCTAAACACTGGAAGTTAGTTAACGGATCGGTTACGAGTTGCTTCGTAAGACAAAAATCAATCACTGTAAGAGAACAGATCTTATATAGTATTAATGAATGGGTGAATTTAATGTAAAATAATATAATGCATCCCACTCACCATATTTCACATCCGGCACCGTAATACTACTCTCAGCAATATTAGTTGACAAAATAATGCGGCGATATCCTGTAGGAGGCTTTTCGAATATACGTTGCTGCTCCTCGTTTGTAATCGAAGAATGTAAAACAACTACATCCCACTTTGACTGTTCGTGTTTTTCGGACATGAGTATATTGTGCATCTCTTCAATTTCGTGAATTCCCGGCAAGAATATTAAAATTACGTGACGGTTGTATGATCCACCTTCTTTCAGTTCTGCATCTTCTGAATTTTTGTCAAGTTGATCAAGGATAAGTACAAGGGATATGCAAAAGTTCATCATTTCTAATGTTACTTGTGGATCCTCTTCTGAAATTGCTGGAAGCTATGTAATCAAAAATAATATTAATATTATACATATTTCTATAAAGAATAACATAAGGATAACGAATATTACATACTGCTCCTAATTGTTGCATCTGGCATAGGTAATATATATTGACATTGTAATAATTCTTTTTAGTTATATCGATTATTGGTGCGGGTACCAATTTATTTCCAATAGGAGACGAATAGTATTCAGCAAATTTGGTTACATTGAAGGTAGCTGACATAAGAATAACTTTAACCGTGCGTGAATTTGTTCTTAACAATTTTCGAATGACCAGAAGAAGAAAGTCCATGTCCTTATCCCGCTCGTGAACCTCGTCCAAGATTACGTGTGTATAATCCAGCATATTCTTGTTATTTATAAGTTTTTGAAGAAGTACTCCAGATGTACAATACGTTAACCTTGTATCGGTTGATGTATTATTCACCATCCCAACTTTGAATCCGACTAAACTTCCAAGAGGCCACTGTCTCTCCTCAGCCACCCTTTTAGCAATGCTCATAGCAGCAATACGTCTGGGTTGAGTAACTATAAAAATGATTAAGTTTGCGACATTGTTATTGATGTATTCAAAATTCTTAGAGAATTACAAATCATACCGATTATATTGCAGTGTACTTTTTTCCTGCAACATGAATCTAAGATGAACTGTGGTACTTGTGTGGTCTTTCCACATCCTGTAGGTCCTTGAATTATGACTACTGGATATGTTTCAATCATAGACACAATATGATCTTTCATACTAACAATAGTCAAGTTAGACTTAGGTCTGTATGCAAAGTTGTAAGTTTTATAAATTTTATTTAATTGTTCATCTGAAATTTCATTTACTGTAGGTATAGTTCCAATGGATACAGTTTCCAAATTGGTCGCTTCTTCCATAGTAGATGCCATGGAATTTGGTGTCTTAAATTTTTACAATCAGAGATAATAAGGATTAATATTTCAAAATTTTAATATTTCTTTTGCATAGTATAATCTAAATACCTGCAGAAGCATCCGTTCTTCTTCTTTAATATACGATTCAGCATATTCAGTACCTGATTCTGGTACTCGTACATGTGACACTGAAGCTTTATCTAATGCAGATGGATCATTTTGTATAGTTCTACTTCTTCTACCAGGTAAGACATGGTCCTTAACTGACTTCCTAAGATGGTAAAGTCCCAGAGGATCCATTATTCTAGCCATTTTGCTAAAAAAATTATTATAAATATTAATCAAATAACGAATATTAAATAAATTACCATTTCACAAAAAAATTGCATTATTAATATAAAATATACAATCTACATGTAAATTTAATTTCTACTCACCATGCGATGCGCAAAATGTAATTGGATGAAAATGTGATGTTAGCAAGCTACAAAAGACGGATCAACTTTTTCCTAATTATTCGGATATTCAACTTTATTGATTTACGCAATAATGAATTTCACGAGCAGACATTAATTAGCAGATAGTCAACAACTAAGCACACAACGAACAAAGGATACTAATTGACAAATAACGAACAAAGCTTTCGCGTTCTCTTTCTTATCATGTTCTTTGTTACTAATTTTGCTCAGCTCAGCAAAATTCAAGCGGATGTCTATAAATTATATAAGTAACGTATTATTGATTTAATATTACTTACCCTATAGTTGCTAAAGCAATTATATTTTACCGTAGTGCATCAAACATTTAGAGAAAACAAGAAACCGCGTGGATTTCAGAAACAATTTTCAAACAGTTCGATATATCGGTCAAGAATGTCGGTTCTTGAGGAACAGTCTAATCTCTATGCAACGATTGGTCAACGTAGTGTGCCCATTTTTAAAGTCGCGATTGGTGTATTCTCGTGCGACAATTAGAAAACAATGGAAATCACCAATCGTTGTTTAATACTGTCGCTATCCCTTAACTGTACGCATTGTCTAGTTTATATGTTACGCTACAATGGCCATTATTTTAAATTATAAATATTACACCTTGACATTTTACAAGAAATAGTAAAAATTTGTTAATAATTTTTTTTTATATTATTTCATTATGATACTGTCTCTACAAAGCAATACATGGAATATTTTCTACGTGTTTTGAAAATGTCTCAAGATTTAAAATACGAGGAAATGGAATGTGTAGTATTTACAGTTAGCTTTGTTGCCGTTTTAATTACAGTACTCTGTTAATTTATCATCATTATACTAATTCTTTGCTATCTATAGAAAATTATCATAACAGTTGTAACAAACTCTCTTATTGAATATAGTATGAGTTCCAATATACGTTTGATTTTGATATTAAAAAAATATCCAACGTCAAGCGGCAACAATGCTAGCTACTAATTTCCCATATATGAAATGAAAATGCACCGGCTGTCGGCAGCAGTGTACAGTTAAAAGAATTATATGTCAGAGTTTTCGTAATTTTACTTATTAACATTAAAAGATTCGGCGAAAGATGACTTCTAATAAAAGTCCAGATATGGGTTTGTCAAAATCCAAAAATGTGCAGCAGCATCGTGTATCATCAGGCAATGTGAAAAAACTGCAGGATCTGTATGTATATGCATTTAAAACTACCATTAGTTTTTGTATTTTGTTTTATATTATGTATGAACTTTAGGAGTTGGTGGATACCATTCGGAATAATACTAATATTTACTATTGCAACCAGATTTTATAATGTAACTGAGCCGCAACATGTTTGGTAAGACTTATACAATGTCAGTGGAACAAAGTTACTGTCTCTGTAATAAAGTATTTTCATTATTTATTCTTCTTTTAGTTGGGATGAAACACACTTTGGAAAAATGGGAAGCTGGTATATAAACAGAACATTTTTCTTTGATGTTCATCCACCGTTAGGAAAGGTATGGCTGTTAGTTTTCTTTCTTGCAGTGAACTCTGTATTTTGAATATACAAGAAGTGGTCTTTATTACATTATTTATAAATCTTATATTTTTATACAGATGCTGATTGCATTATCTGGATACTTAACTGGGTATGATGGAACATTTCCATTTGAAAAACCTGGTGATAAATTTGAGAATGTTAATTATGTTGGAATGAGAGTTGTAAGTTTATGCATATTAAGGAAACTGAATTTGCATAGTATATTAAAATTTGTTAATTTTTCAGTTTTGTACGTTTTTGGGAGCAACGATTGTACCGTTATCATATCTTATTGTATGGGAACTGACTAAGTCAGTACCATCTTCAATATTTGCAGCTATATTTGTTTTATGCGGTATATTTTATATAATAAATCTTTATACATTAATTCTGGTTATTTTAAATGATTCATTAATGAAGTATTAATGACTGTATTATGATATTTCAGATGTTGGCTTACTGACATTAAATCAGTATATACTACTGGATCCGATACTATTGTGCTTTATGATGTGTGCAACATGGGGAATGGTACGTGTAGGATCGCTGAAGCATAAACCATTCACATTATCCTGGTGGGGATGGCTATCATTTACTGGTACTTCACTTGCTTGTACAATCAGTGTTAAGTTTGTAGGACTTTTTGTTGTTCTACTTGTTGGCCTTTATACAATATATGAGTTATGGAGAGAACTCGGCGATTTGACAAAGAGTATGGTCAGTATCATAACAGTTCTCTAATTTAGTTTTGCTAATTCTAAGTATTAAAATATGTTATAATTTACGATTTCTCACGTTTTGTTTTAGAAATACATATTACAACATTTACTGGCCAGGTGTTTGTGTCTTATTATCTTACCAATGTGCCTTTATATGGCATTTTTCTATATTCATCTTACTGTTTTAAATAAAAGGTAAAATAATGTAATAGATCTCTCATTTTATAATGCTCAATATTTTTATAAACTTGAATTGTTTATGTTGAACGTAGCGGTGGCGGTGATGGATTTTATAGCTCAGAATTTCAATCCTTGCTTCAAGGAAATTCATTATACAATGCTACCATGCCTCGACAATTGGCTTATGGTGCCTCTATTACCTTAAAAAATCATCGAACAGGAGGCGGGTACTTGCATTCACATTGGCATCTTTACCCGGAAGGAGTTGGCGCCCGACAGCAGCAGGTACTTAATTAATACCGAAATACCATAGATAAATATATGACGATTATTATTTCAAGTATTTCTCTTTAAACCAATGTTTTAGATCACGACTTACTCTCACAAGGATGATAATAATTTATGGTTGGTAAAAAAATTTGATTCGGATGAAATGCCGTCGGAATCAGAATTGGTAAAACATGGTGATCTTATTCGTTTAGAACATGTTATTACAAGACGAAATTTACATTCGCACAAAGAAATAGCACCAATTTCAAAGAAACATTATCAAGTTACTGGTTATGGAGAAGTATGTACTTTAAATGATCATACACTTATTTTGAGAGTATCCAGCTTTATATTAAACTGTATTTTTAGAATGGTACAGGAGACGCCAATGATGTATGGAAAATACTAATACATAATGGAAAAGAAGGTGATGTTGTTGAAACAGTGACAAGTAAATTAAAATTCGTACATTATCTTCATCATTGCGTTTTGACTTGCAGTGGCAGAACATTGCCAAAATGGTAGGTATTATGACAGAGTAAATAAAATACAAATAATGGTATTAGTGACATTTATTATTCCTAATTTACGTTCTCAGGGGATACAGCCAACAAGAAGTTTCTTGCAATCCTAATATGAGAGACAAAAATTCCCTGTGGAATATAGAGGATAATCATTATGCGAAACGTATGTATTATTAATCTAAACGAATTATATCCATATGTGATTGTAAGTACTGATTTCAATAATTTTTCGATAATAGTTCCCAACGTGAGCTTTCGAGTGTACGCCCCTAGTTTCCTGGATAGGTTTTTGGAGTCACACGCAGTTATGTTACAAGGAAACTCGGATCTAAAAATAAAAGAAGGAGAAGTATCCTCTAGACCATGGCAATGGCCGATTAATTATAGGGTAAGAATTACACCGATTAATAAGCTTGGAATACGTATTATACAATGTTATTTTACTTATAGGGTCAATTCTTTTCGGGCAGTAACCATCGGATATATTTGTTGGGTAATCCAATTATATGGTGGGGAAATATTATATTTCTCATATTGTTCACCGTTGTGTATATTCATGCTGCTGTACGGGAGCATCGTGGCTATGAAGAGGATAAATGTGTAGTAGAACATAGAAAAATCGTTATGGAAGCTGGAAGTTGGCTGTTTATTGGATGGTTACTTCACTATGTGCCGTTTTGGGCTATGACGCGTGTTTTGTATTTCCACCATTATTTTCCAGCACTACTTTACAGTTCAATGTTAACCGGGATCACTCTCAATTATATTATCGAAAATATTCTTGTAATATTTCCTGGCAAGATCGGAAATACTATTTATCACGTAATAGTTGGCATAGTAATATCAAGCGCTATGTATAGGTAAATGATTTTTTTTGCATCCTTGAGATAATTTAACGAAAATTTAAATAATTATTGAATTACAGTTTTTATCTATTTTCCCCATTGGCATATGGCATGGATGGACCATCGGCATTGGATGCTGACAGCCCAATGCATTCCTTAAGATGGTTGGATTCCTGGGAGTTTTAGAACATAAATCTATTTCTATAAGTAAGAACAAAACAATTTGGTTACTGGTGAGTTTTATATTAATTGAAAGACCAGCCGACTGTCTAGAAATGTAATGAGATTATTATGAGATATTATGACAATGTATGAAATAAGAAATTATATCAATGCTTATGGTTATTTATGAGGAAATATTATATTTTATATATTAAATCTGATACTATTCACACAAAAAAAGAATATTTGTACTTAATTATAGAACTGTTACCCATTATTAATATATTTTTTTAGAAAAAAACCAATACACTTTCTAAAATAAAAAAACCTTTTCAATCATAATATTAATCTCTGCATTTCTTCGTTGATTTTTTTTCAATAGAAATAAATGATTCCAACTGAAATATTACCTATGTTCTAATAACCGTACAAGGTTCCAGTATTATTTAAAAGTATTGAAAATATACTTAACAATTTCTCAGATGCCACTGTGCTGATACTCATTTGATTCACTGCTACCATTCCTGCATACATGTCGACGTGTACAGTGGAAGTTACATATATGTATACACATATGTTTTACGAAAAACTGGAGCGGCGATAAACGTCTTGTTTCCCGGAGCCGAGTCTCGTACCTTGTCCAAGATAAGTACCCTCACCCCGTGACCGATGTCTTCGAGTGAGATTGGAACGTCCGGTCTGTAAGAGAATGATTATACATATGCACTATGCGGAGAGGAATCACTATAATTAAATGACTGACAAGCCATTCGACACTACAAGCAGGAGTACGTACCAGTCGACCTTCTCATCCAAGAACAGTGGCATAGCAATGAATTGTGGGTTATTTTCGATCAATAAATAGTGTTACGTGTTCTCATATCTTTTCCGGTTCATTACATCATTCCGCGGCTATTCTTTCTTTTTGGGTGTCACCACTAGAAGAAATCTCAAGTACCCAACGTGGTATGTAATGAATTTATTTGGTTAAGCGAATTTTGTTATTTTTGTTAATTGACACAATAATATGATGCAGGCGCAAATATTGTACGATGTGACGCTCTGGGCTTTTATTGATTAATTTTAGTATCGGTATGCTGAGCGCCGTATGGTATGATGTAAAAGCGGACATTTGCTTAGTCTCGGCATTTGGGCAGATGCTGATGGCTTTTCAGCAACATAATTGTTGTTTTTCTTTTACTGACACACATAGACACACTCATGTTTCATTTAAGGCTAAATCAGATTGAAAATATCTTACGAAATCGTAAATGAAACCCGAGTGCGTCGAAATATGTTGGACAAAAAAACACCCGTCGAAATCGGAAAGGGCTTGGTTTAATCGGAAATTCAATTGTTGTTTATCATTAGTCCATTAGTGACATTTGAAAGGAGTATAACCGGTGGAAGGGATACATTGATGTGGAGTAAATCTAGAGCGATAAGTTAGCGCTGTATGGTGAGGTCATTAACGAACACGTGTAAATACTCATGATGATTGTTATACGTGTTTACTAATTGCCATTGCGTATTCATTATTATTGGGACAATATAAGTTACTGGTCATCAATATGCGATTGATGCTGTGTGCTGAATTATATCAGTGCATAACGTTACAGGTTTGCAAGTCAATGTTGAAGTGAGTTTGGAAGAACATAAGATTGTACTTTTCATTGCTCGTTATATCATTACACTTTTCAGCTTATATTACTAATCGTTAATCGAAAGTAGAGATTTTTAGATTGATAAAATCCATTTTATCGAAGCGAAAGAAAATTATCGAGCGAATAAGAAAGCGATTCAGTGTTCTGAATGTCACCGCGCCACTTGAATCTAAATTATATTATCTCGTGATAAAAGGCGAACGTTATCTTTTATAAGGAAAGATGTCCTGTGACACGTTACTATTGATATCGTATAAGTTTTGAGATTTTTAAGCGTGTACAGTACAGTCTGATGCAGTGCATTCGTGTTTTATACACAGTGAAAAAGTTAAAAAAATGTTTCCATTGGTAAGGTTAAGTCTCGAGTTAATATCGAACAATCGTGAACGTGGAACCCATTAGAAGAACTATTATGGGGGATAGCATAAACCTATGATAATAATATTCATATTTTATGTGACGAAAACTATAGGGAATTGGATAGTCAGTAATCATAATGATTACTTATCTGAAGGGTTCCTACTGGAGCGTCAATCCATGACGCATGTACGTGATTAAGTGGGAAGTTTAAATTTTAAATTAGACTTGTACGCTCTTATGGGCACAGTAATATTATAAAAGCTAATTCTACCATTAAATTTGTTTAATGCAGGAAATATTAATCATAAGAAAATTTGCGTTATTTCCATCGTTGATATCATCCAGTAGTCTACTTGTTTTAACTGTTATAAGGAATTTTGTTATCGTGCCATCTTGCATGCATTGTTCATGCCTATTACGGTTATACTATACATCCAGATTATTTTTATTTTTTTTTATTTTGCAGGATCAAAGGCCTTCGTATTGTTATGTGGTGGAGGATTGAAGTCAGAATATGCCAAAGAGAGAGATAGCCCCATTTTTAATATGGAGCCTAATCATTCAACTGGGATTATCTGGAAATACAGAAAGGATATCCCAACATCCGTCCAACATCCTTGTAGATTTTTTCGCATATCGCCACATCTCCATTGTTCACTTCAACATTCCCCAAAATTCCGTTGCAGCTACATTCAAGTATGTATTATTAAGACCCTTAATATTGAGTGAAGACGTGATAACAAAATTAAAATTCATTTATTTTCTTGTAATTTCAGGTTTATCGCCAAAGAAGAGAGGACTGGAGGATTAGGTCGTTGTTCAACACGGGACGTATCCGTATACCTAAAATTTGGCAGCTTACCGCTAGTACGCCCAGATAATTCGACAATAGCAGCTAAACTTTTGCAACGAAGGTACTCTTATTACAACTTGGAAATTTTAAGCGATGAAACGCAGCATCTTATTCGTGTTGATGCACCACCACCTGGTGATTGGTACGCTATTGCCTTTAGATCATGGTCCGACCCGAACAAAGAACAGATTTCGCAGCAAGGTATCTCATACATATATGGTATTACATGATAGTAATGATTATTTGATAATCTATAAATCTAATACTAATGATAAAATTTTCTTCCAGGCATAGGACCCTCCTGTGATACTATATTAGAAGCCGAATTATTCATTGAACGACCTACCACTGTTTCTGTGATTGATAGTACTACTGAACATTGGACAGAATTAGATTCCACTTCTAATTCTGCAGTGGTGCAATTTTTAATATCTAAACTAGCCTATAACACAACTTTAGCTGTAAAATCCACTTGTGGAAACAATTGTACAATTGGAGTAAATGTCAGCACATTAGAGCATTTAGCTGAAAAAGTATTTAGAGCCGAAGAAAGCGAATTTACTTTCAGACCGTATATAAATTCATTCCATTATGTGTTACTCCGACTTGTATCTGGCGAATCATCAAACGTGTCATTAACATTGGATACGGAAACTATAGAAAGTAATTCCACCGATGTAAAATTCGTGAAGCTACTTAGAAGATCGTTTCCAGATTTCTTTTTATTTGATTACGAGAATTTACAGGGTAACGATACCAAATCGTCACCATACAATTTGACAAACGAATCTTTAACTGTACTACAATTTGAAATAGGTTCCGTATATGACGTAGGTGGTACGGTATCCGTAGGCTTAAAGTTACCGGATACAGAAATCAAAGATAAGAATGTCATTGTTGTCAGTTGTATTTCTCACGGATATTATATACCCATAACCGATACTGCCAGTTGTGAGAATAAGAGGACTATCACACCACCGGATATATATGTAAACAAGACAGGACCATCGTACATTCACATACCATATCCGGAACCTGGACAATGGTACATTAGTTTGAAATCATTTTGTGTAGAAGAAAAATGCGATTGTGCAGAAGAGTGTTTGACCAGTGTGTGCCAAGAGTGCAGCTGCCTAAAAGAGTGTTCGTCGAGAGTCGAAAGTAACGTAGCCTCATCGCCGTGCATCGATGCAAAATGTAATTCGAATGGACGATGCGTCCATTATATGAGTGGTGGTTTTATATTTTCTGCTTGTCATTGTACAGATAATTATCGTGGTTTTGATTGTGCTGATGACACGTACGTGCTTGGTAAGACCAAAATAATAATCAGCCTAGTTTTGCTCACCTCCAGTAATTTGGCTTTCATCGGTGCGATCTATCTCGCTCTAAGTCGAGAGTATTATACGGAAGCAATTGTATATACAGCAGTGATGCTCTCTTCGACGTTTTATCATGCCTGTGAAGCTGGTGAGGATGTGTACAGTTTGTGTATCATGAGACTCAGTGTCCTACAATTTTGTGATTTCTTTAATGCCTTATTATCTATTTGGGTGACGCTCGTGGCTATGGCAGCTTTTGGTTACAGACTTACAGGTTTCTGTCAAATGGCTGGTGCTATTATACTCGCCATGGGCGCTGAAATGGATCGTACTGCACTTTGGGTATTCCTCCTACCTGCATTAACTGGTAGTGCCTTAGTAGTAATTTCGTGGGGAATGAAATGCAGAATTAAAAAAACCTTTCGATATCCTTCGAGACCCTATCAGACACTGTTTCTACCAGCTGGTCTAGCCTTGGTATTTATAGCGCTGATGTGTTATGCCTTTCTTCAAACTCGACAGAATTATTATATTATACATAGCGTTTGGCATATTCTGATGGCTGTTGGAGTTATGCTCCTTCTACCTAGGCGCGAATACATGAAATAGTATATTCGATTTATAGAGTTAATATATTGTATAAATACTATTTGTATATATAATATATATGTAAGCCTGTTATTTATGGATCCATGTATACGAAGGTGCTATGAGGTGTTTGAGAAGAATTTATGCGCGGAGAATTTTTTAATTTATTTATGGGAAGATGAATACTATTTTGATATTAGTGATTCGAATAACATTGTAAATTGTAGGAATAATTGTAGCTAGATGATATTAATATTTTTAAGTAATAAATGTTATGGTTACAACGTCAAATCTTTAATATGCATTTCGTGATTTTAAACAATTTTATTTTATTATTTTACTATCTTAATTTTGGCCAATATCAATGTTCGTCAAGGTATCAAGTAATTATGTATACTTTATATAATTCGTTAAAGAATCTCGATAAGGGAATGAGCTCTTTTTCTGCATAAATTGCTCTTATCAACATTGAATTAAAAGATCCGCATAATTATATTGCATCCAGGACTGACTTTTAACTTCAAATCTTCCATATCTTTATGGATTTTGTTAGAAAATTAAACAATGTTATCTCGATAGGAACAAAGACCACGCCGATAAAATTTTTATTAAAATATGTTAATCATACTTTTATATGTAGGATTGATCTATTAATCCGTTAAAAATTTGTAGTTTTATTTAACTTTGTAGTGTCATGAAAGAAATACGAATATCTATGAGTTATGTGAATCATCACGTTCATACTATACCATATTGTAAATCTAGTCTCTCAAATACATATATTTATTGCTTTTGACGAATGTAGTTTATTGAACGTAAGAAAATTTTATGACAAACTTTCGCTTTACACAAAAGCATATTTTACTTTTCTTAGTCTCTATATACATACAGTAACGTCCAATTGAAGTGCAACACTGGAATTTTTTTTACATTTCTATGCCATATTTGCCATATTAATGAAACCTTGACGTAGTTGCTACATAATCCTTTTACTAATAACATAAAATGTATGTAGTTGAAACATAAAGGTTACGAGATGTATTTGTTGGAGTTAACGTAGTAGATGAACATGAAATTCCCTTCATTAGTCATCATGTCAATATTGAAATATAATATTATAATGATACATACAGTAAACGGCCATAAATATATTCCTCATAATAATATATGAAATTATAGAAAAAATCATTACCGCTATTTCGCATGCCTAAAAATATCGATGTTACAATGGAGCAGAAGGCGCAGTTGGTCGTGCAGTTGGTGTTGTAAAAACAGTAGCAGCGTTTGCAAGAAGCGCCAGCATAGTTTCCATTGAAAATCCACAATGGTGATACACACGACCACAACTCTTTCCTGATCTACCAGCTTCTACAGCTTCCTGAACCGCTGTACCTTGCATAGCAGTATGGAACATCTGATTCGTAGTAATGGTGTTTACTATTTTGTCAAAGGATGATATTTTCTCTTCATCTTCATCATTATCAATTCCGTTTACCGCAGCAGCAGCTTGTTGCGCATACGTGCACACAACTCGCTGCATACATGATGTTGTATCTATACCAAACTGGGCAAGCTTATCGTCTAGACGTGTCATTGTCTGTGAAATACTTCCATCTTCACCTATGAGAAATGCCATAAATTATTAATAACATCTATCATTATACAGAATTACAATAACTTACTTCTTGCATATGCTCCGTAACTACCAGAGAGTACATAGAGCAACTTTGGAATGATAAGAATAGATCCTACACCTATAACAGCCCCTAACAAAACTCCACCCAAATCTATTTTTGCTGGTGCGTAACTGCTGACACCATAACCCTGTAATGAAAATATGTAATGGGTAATATAACAATGTAAAAATCAATTTGCTTATAATCAGTTTTATCGCGTCACTTACTGTGCCCGTTCCACCGATATTAGTAAATCCAAATCGAGGTTCTTGATTACGATCAGAAATTTCATTAGCATCGGTACTCCCACGCTTCGTGGTCGATGCTTTAGACTCGCTTCTTACTTGAGATGCCATTGCAATTTGATCCTGTGCCTTTTCCGATTTTTTCATGTAGCCCGAAGGACTTGGTGCGAAACTGCAAGGAGAGTGAACCAAAAATACGTATAGTTACTGTGCATTTATTTATTTTGCGATGTATAGAATAAACAAATTCTTACTCTCCTCCATCGTATTTAGGACCGCACTCGACCGATACTATTAATAATAACGTAACTAAAACTAATGCATCGAGTTTGCTGCACGTCATCTGCAACATAAGACAATTATAATAATTCATTATGGCAAGTTTACATATTTTGTAATTAATATACAGTTACAGTACCTTAGTGCCCAACTAGATACTAAGTGTAATCTGTACTTTTTGTAGTGTCAATTAGGCTTCTCCCGCTGTTCCGTTGACAATTCCCGTGATGTAGCGTAAAGACTGAAAAGACTCGAGAAAATTCAGGGCATATATAGCCACGCACTATACCCATTATCTCAAATGGACAAACGATGGACGTAATTGCTTTGGTAGTTTCGCTTTCGTTGTCAGATTTCCAGGGGACGATGTTACAATGCGTGACGGTGTTTTGACTTCACCTCGTCTTCGCCATGTCTTTCACAGGAGTAAGGTAAGTGTACACATATTTGTCTTTCAATACACTGAAAGGTAAAACTCTCCCCAAAATAATGTTGCGTCGAAGCTGAAATAATTGTCTTTCGCAATACCGTTGCAAACGGCTTAAAATAGTGGACATTTTTTTCAAGGATTTACAACCTTTTTCAAAGTTGGCGGAAAACTTGTATCCTACTCTTGTTGTGAAGGAAGTTCTCAATTATGTGTATCCCAGTGGTTGACTGATTGCTATCCAGTATACATTATAAATCTTTATGGAGATAATTTTATATAGCTTGCGTAAAATTCATAAATACTTCCATCAAGATATATGATTCGTGTCAGAATGATGCAGATGAGTAAAATAAAATTCGAAAGTAAGTGTCATGCACTGGGGTGCTAGATAATTTCCAGTGAAATTGCTTTTTTTCTATTTCTTTAAAGGTAAAAGCAAATGCTTAGTATACAAATAATAAGTACTTATAGCTACTGAATTCATTGATTAGATATATTTGTTTAACGCTGACCAATTTTAAGTATCAATATGCTAATTTGCTAAACAATAATAGTACAGTCAACTCTCCTTAAATTAGAGTGCGTGAGGGTCTGGTCGCGCTATGCTAGAGATAGTGCTATGTTATGGAATGCCCCCACTGGAGTTGGATAGACGCGTGTTTGACAGAGACAATAATAGACGAAACACTGCGAAACGAAGGAGTGGGATAATTATTCCCCTCGCGGCGAGATAGATTAAAGAGAGCATTTCAGGGGAAACACGAACTTACAGAGCCCTTCTTTAGGGAGAGTTGACTGTAGAACAAACATTGCTTACTATTCTCATGTAATTGAAATTCTTGCGAAATTTTCTTTTAGCACAAGCACTAACACAAGGCGACCTATTTGTACGCTCATGGATGTCGAGTCCAGCAGTTTGAAAAGGAACTCGTTCTGGAGACTGCTCCAGAAAATATAAGAAAGTCTTAGTTGATATATCCTGATATAGGCATTTACGCACATGCCATACATTATTCTTTCACTTGCAAGTGAAAATTGCCACCGGGATTCCTATTTCTCATTACCTCTGCAAAAAATAAATTCGTAATTAATAAACCAGTGGCTAACAATACAATGTACAGAAAGTCGCTCAACCTGTACGGAATTCCGGGGGAGGGCTGAAGATTATACATAGAGCAGTCGTAGGAGTTGCAGGGCCATAAGTATTTGAGCACTTATGTTGGAAACAATTTGTTTCGTGGGTGAGTCCTTCGTGCGTCTATTATTTTCACGGTAGATTGTAATGCAAAGGATGTGGTATGATCCTGGTTGTAGATATTTAAATTATATAGAGTTAACAATTTGACAATGGGATTCAACGTAAACATTTTTTTTCCACGTAGGAGATCAATAATAAGATGAACCATTTAATTGTGAATTTTGGAATAATGTGGTTTCCTTTAATAGTATACTTGATTAATCCACTATTATTAATAAGGCCTGTACATGCGAAATTTAAAAACGATTTTCAACATAAACAAATTCACCAGAACCCTCGTTTTTTATCCTTCAATTCGCATGATTCTGATAAAATTGAAGTAAGTGTCCTTTGTATTATGTGTATTCTCAATTTAGATTATTGAGTTACGATTATGTGCGGTGATTGATTTTTTATTTTTTATCTAGATTGATCTGGATCTATCGATACCATTTCTCTCAATTCCGCTGACATCTAAGGAACAACAAGGAGGTTATGACACGTCATTGGCAAACGTTAATACTAAAGCATTAACAATAGCTGGATTAATAACGTCCCTTGCTGTTTTTATGATTCCACTTTTTGTGAAAGGATATTCTTCGCTTGATCGTCGTAGGTATTCAATGTATACATTTTGTGATGAAACTACACTTATCACTCTTTATTTCAGGCTCGGGTAAAGATATTGAATGGAACTTCTTTAGCGATGCAATTAACGATATGGTGTATTATAACAATTATATTTCCCCATGTGTTCAGCGTGCGATTTGTTCGATAGTTTCGAAAGCCAGACATTCCAACAATCCTACGAGTTCTGATAAAATTATCGATGGTATATCCAGGTATGATTCCATTATAATAAATATTTTTCGAAATTCATATTTGTTCTTATTTACATTATTTCAATTTATTTAGCCATTGGTGGTTCAATTCGATGACAAATGGTACGATCATACAAAACGCAGTTGTCGCAGGACGAAATACTGTCGATGATTGTTCGTCGATTTATTCAGGATGTTTCATCACGCCAAGACTTCTAACGACTTTTTTAAAGAACTATGGAATCTTATAGAATGGACTAAAAAAAAACCCATATATTACCTTACGCTTTTGGCCTGAGGAATTGTTCCTATATAGAGTAATATTGATATTAAAATATTGTTTTGTTATATTAAATGAAAGTTCCTATGTAGAATGTGTAAAAAGAAATATAAATTACCTTTTGTATAGTGAGATACATCGAAACAAACCAGATGAGATAGTAGTAGAAATAAAGATATATTATAATGTTTTTCAAGACTTTCTTTAAAGAGTAGTAATTGTGTTTCATTTGTATTTCACAGACAGATTACATTGTACCATAGAGAATATATTTATATAATCCCTGCAATATGTATACTTTATTTTCAAAAAATTTAATATAACAAAATATATTAATATAAAAGTGTATAATCAATCAGGATTCGAAAAATGTCATCTAGATGCCAGAGTTCCAATAATAATTAGTGACTGCCAAATGCGAAACAGACAAAAACTATATTTTAAAAAGGGTCCCATAATATTTATGAAGATTACAAAAGTATAGATACACCTGATTGACTAGACTGTCATATGTCTTATATAGATTTAAGAAATTGCGTGCTACTACAAGTTCGGTGAGATGTCATCACTGTTATTTGGACGCATGCAGCATAAAAACGTTATAATATAGGGAAAGATCATCACATCTTAATATTATAGCATATGTTGAGAAACGAATGTACTTTCACCACATATTGTATATTCAAAACAATGGGATATTCAAATTAGCTTCATTTTAATTTCCAATAATGTTTGAAATACTACTTTCATTCAGTCAGCTTTTAATCCCCTTGTCCCCTTGTTATCTCTCCTGTAGAATTTTGTTTAAGATTCAATTTTCTTGCTGGTAATAATTTCAAAGCATTGGTTGCACCGACAAGTTCAGCGAGATCACTCGGTGTGTGACCTAACATATCAGTCAAGTTGGGGTCGGCCCCATTATTTAATAAAAATTCAATAATAGGAATGTGATTATGTAACGCTGCAAAGTGTAAGGCTGTTCTTCTCGAAACATTTTCTTGCGAAAGATCAGCACCGGCTATATGGAACGAGCAAATGCGCGTTAAATTTCCAGCAGCAGCCGCGATACACATTTCGTCTCCAATCAATCGTGCACTTCCATGAAGATGAGCGCCACATTGTAAGAGAAGTTTGATTATCTATAAAAATGATATAAAACGCTATGATAAGTATAACAATCTTCGTTTATTTTTATTTTTTATATTGGGCGTAACTTACATCGTGGCGATCGTTATCTATGGCATCTGTCAGAGGAGTATGGCCAAATCTATCCTGCATGTGAACATTTGCTCCCATTTTTAGAAGATAACGAACCACTCGCAAATCTCCTTCGCAACATGCGATATGCAAAGCAGTTCGTCGGTCAGCATTTGTTTGTGAAATATCAGCGCCCTCAAAAGATCAGCGCGATTAAAAAAAAATTTGCGGGGGATAAAGGCAGAAATAAATAATTATCTTATAATGAAGAGGTTATTCGATTACTTACATAGCCTTTTAACGATTCCAACTTTTGAACGTCGTGATTAACTACAGCAGCATTTAACATAGCTGGAAATAGGACTGATCCCAATTCCTGAAGTTCGTCCGGCGAACTCAAGTGAAGTGATCTCGCTACAGCATCCACGAGATCCCAGTCCTGTAAAGTGGGTGGTCGTCCTGCTGTTAATTCACCTCTTATACTCGTCTGCATCATAGACCTTTTTGTTTCCGTATCCCATTCAGTTTTTGATAATACATACGATAGTTTAGCCAAGGCTGCCTCTGGAGTCATGTCGAAGCCCGACGTAACACCTACATAAATACATATTCATATATCAGTCAAAGGAATTGTCTTCCCTTGTTAAACGTGGTACCAAGAAACAAGAGTCTCCAAAAATCTTACCAGCTTCCAAAAGTAATTTTCCAGTTTCATAGATATGCGATACTCCGCCTTCAGTACATTGAGTAATATTCACGATGATAACACCTCGATCCGTTGCTTTGCGAAATTCTTCTACTATATCAGCTCGATTTGAAGGCATGTTTCCTGCTCCATAACTTTGTAATACAACTCCTTCTATGGGTGGTTGTAAAAATGCTTTCACAAGGTCACACGTGATACTTGGAAAGAGACGCAGTAAACCAACGTTTCGATTTAACATAGTATGGACGTGAAATTTCTCCAAAGTACACGGTCGAAAAATAGCTCGATAGTCCACTACAGTAGAAATATATATACATAAATACTTTTATTTTTCAAATTATTTACTAATTTTAGAGAATTGCATAATACCTTGTATCTCGATACCAGCATCAGCCAGAGGTGGTGAATTTGGAGAATGAAATGCTTCGAATGACGCAGTGGAAACTTTACTTGTACGGTTTCCCCGCATTAAATGTGTCCCGAAAAAGACACAGACTTCCGGTATGTTGTAACTCGCCGCAATGACGAGAGATGCGAGAAAATTGTCAAGACCGTCACTTCGTGTGTCAAAGATAGGCAATTGAGAACCTGTTATGACGACAGTTTTACCAAGGGATTCCAGCATAAAAGACAGTGCTGAAGCTGTGTAACTGAGTGTGTCAGTACCATGAAGCACCACAAATCCATCGAAATACTCATAAGATTCCTAGCAAGAATTGTTGTGAAAGTCACAAAAAAAAAATAGCAACCCCTTGACCTAGTAAGATAAACCATAAAGTTCAACGTATCATACTTCAATGTCACTAGCTATTAGAATCCAGTCGTCAATGGTCATATTACTGGAATCACGTAGAGGCGAATACTCCAGCACGTTGTAAATAACCCGGCGATTTTGAATATTAGTATTTCTAAAACAAATTAAAGCTTGAACTTGGTGTACCAAAGAATTTTTCAAAATTACTTTGATATACTTACGGCAGGACAAGTGGTCCCATAGCGCCAAACCTTTCTTCTGCGTACTTGCGATCGTGCATGTGTGGATATTTTCTTAAGTTTTTGACAAAAGCATTTGCCGTTGGTACCAGAACTAAAAATAAAAAATATATATGCTGTAACACTTGCCATCATTGTTTTTCTTTTACGTATTATAAATATTAGAAACATGTCAATATCTGGTCGACGAGAGTTTATTATATCATATAATATATTGCACAACTTCATCTGCAGAATAAAAGATAAGTTTTCGCAACATTTGATGTGACACTTATTACATGTGACCATGTGACATAACTGCTATTACAACACCAATTAACCATATTTGCAATTGCAACGATTAACGAAATATAAGTGTCCTTTATTAAGTATTCCATGAAGCTTTAAACTATAATTAAGATTTATAAAAAAATAAACTATCCACTCTTCTTAAAAGCACCATAGTTATGAGTTCTATTATTTTCTATCCATTCATCTTCATAAATACCTCCACTTTCGTTCCTAGTCATTCCAATAGTTCCACCGGTATAAAGTACAAGCACTCTTCCTTCATTCTCCATAGGTAATTGTCCCACAGATTTATTCCGGCGCATTCGTGTTTCATGGTCCCCAGTGTCGTAGCTATTGACATGATTGTCTGAGAAATCGTCTTTCGTAATTGTGCTAGCACGAGACATATCTGTATCGAATGGTTCACCGAATACTACTGAATCTTTGCCACTCACGCTTCCATATTACGTTTCTATCTGTAAACATTTGAATTAGAATATCAATAGAACGATAATGGCTAAAATTACTCACGAACTACTGATACATCAGCGTACATAATTTTCTTCTTTTGTTATTATCTGTTTATTGAATTTAATCATTATAGATACGAAAATACAAAACTGCATATACTGATTTGTTGTGCAAACGTTGAACGATACGAATTGAATAAACGTGGCGAAAAAAAAAATCATTGAAATTTTAACACTTGGAAGTGAAGATATCTAACAGCAGTCTTCGTCTTTGTTGAAAATAAGAATTATTGTTAATAATATGTACAGAAGTCAAATATCATATAATCGTAAGATTATAAATATAGATCTGACGTCATGGAGCATATGGCAAGCAAATAGTTTTCTAATTGGAATTTATTTACACGTTCATTTAGTATATATTGCCAGGTGGTGAAGATATTAATAAGTTTCTAGGTTCTGAGTCTGTATGAATTGATTAAGTTTGTTAAAATTGTTATTGTTTCGTTAATTATTGATAAATGATGCACTGATAAGTTACGGAACTTGATCACTATTCATCACTAATAAATTAAAGAACATCTTAAAATAGATGCTGCTCATGACGTGTTCTATTTCTTCACATGCAAGTACCTATACGAATATGCGTAAAAATATTTCTAAGGCAAGTTATATAATTTATTTTCTGTTGGCAGAATAATATTTAAGATTTAAAGGTTATGATGGAACATTTGTACAGATTTGTAAAACGAACTAGATTTTTTCCACATAAATTTGTACATCAATGCTTAAACTCGGTACACACTTGTCTCAGATTTTATAGCACAGAGAAAAAAGGCAGAAATTATAATACACTAAACACTGAATTCCCACCTTAACCTAATCCTCCGATGTAAAATAATACTAACAGACTGCAACCTATTCTTCACAATTAAAACCCATACTGTTATTCTACGGACGTTAGTTATCACAGTGGTAAGATAGAATTCATGAATATAATGAAAAACGTGCCAACGAGTGATAACGAGTTTATCTTACGCTGACTGATTGATAATCAGCTTTAATACGGCATTGAAAAAGTTAAATATTTGTATACAGCCATAAGAAGACCAATGACGCACTTGAAATGAATTTTAGACTTTTTAAAATAATTTTACTTTTAAAATAGCACTGATTGACATTAGGTATAATAATATAAGTATTTTTTTAAGTTAAATAAAATGGAAAGATAAAATTAAACGAAAAAAATACTGAAAATTGTCACAGTACTAATTTGATTAAAGAAAATAATTCCTAGAAAAGTTTATTCTGTTACAAGCTCAGGAACGTGTGTTGAGTACTCGAAGCTCGTTGATTATAACTCGGGTGTTCTAGGCATGCCTTTTATATACTCGAAACAACACATACAAAGCAGCATCCATGACTTTTGTATCAATATATAGGAATCATTTAAAATGGATTAAATTTATTATTGCTAACATTAATTTTTTGAAGCATACATTTATGTTCGTCTCGATGATTATAAAATTCGAAATTCGGGAATTTTTATGGTTCATGCTTTGAAGGGTTAAATGATATTTATACTAGAACCAAATATTACGATTACATATTTACTACTCCGTATAATCAGCCTGGCCCTTTTGTGGTGATAAACAAATTTCTTTATACTTTTCTTATATATCTTGCGCGAAGGAATAGTCTAGAGATCGAATCATATTTCATTCGAATTATGGACACGCTATAGAATCCAGAATTTAGGAGTGGCATATTATTAACAGCATAAAAGACGATGAATCAACACTCTTACCTATTTCTTCTTGATGTAGAATTCTTTCGCCAGATCATGGGTTACAAGGATAAGGGATCCCGATATCGTTGTTAGTAGGTTCGTAAACATACCTCTATAGAAACCAACGGGACCATCACGCTGCATAATTTTTCCACCCTTTAAAAATGATCATACTTTTGTCAGAATGTTGGTGAATTCATTAATGTTTTACAGACACGACATCATTATATATGCGGGAGTGTATTATGCATTCTTTATAGTAAAAAAGTGTGTAGGAAATTAATTTTTTGTTAAGCCCTTCCCGTGCTATTTAGCTCGTCGTTTGGCCCGATTTTCAGTCCACGAGTCCTACTCGTGATGTTTACATTTGGGTCAAAATCTTCATCACGAGTCAGACTCGTTAAAGTACGGGAAGAGGTTAACTGTGAATGTGTAAGATACAACCGCATGGTTTCAGACGTCGTGCCTTACGGAGAATCTGTCCCGATTTTTCATTGATTTATTTTGTTATAAACTCACCACCATTCGCAATGTCGCATAGAGCTCTAGGCCTTGTCCAGTATGGAGCATAGCTTGTCGTGCTATAGTATCCAGAGGATAAGCAAGAATCATAGATATAGATGATGCTAATTGAGCAAATAACAAAGAGACAAGAAAAGGAGCATGAAGTATACGTTCATTAGAATCAAATGGGTCATTCGTATAGATCCTTTTTGCACTTGTATAAATTCCAAAGTATGCAGATCTGTAAATACAATCGTGAGTAAATTATCTGAAAATGCTTAAATTAAACTGGAATGTGGTTTCAGTCGATTAATAGAAAGTTGCAAGTATGTTGATTATACTTGATCGAAAGTAATAATTATGAGTACTAAACCTGTAGATGAACATTCCCACGGAGGAACAGGCTACGCCTTGATAAAAACCTTTGTAACCATCGGTTTTATAAACTTTTCGCAGGCAATGTGGTAAATTATTAAATTCGCGTTTAATAATTCTACCATCGCCTACGTCTACGGCAATTCGTGTAGTGCAAAAGGTTAGAGGGTATAGTAATATGCAAGAAGTGAAGCCGACTGAACCTCCAGCCAAAAATGAAAGAATATCTTGACCCTTCTTAGTTTTCGGTCGAAAAAAATGTATTAAACCTTCGTAATAAACATCGTACAAGGAAAAGTTGACAGATTGAGTGGGAAAGTATCGACATATATTAGTCAAATTTCCACGCCAGAGGGAAAAAAATCCTTGTTCTTTTGGTAGTCGCACAATAGCATTTACAAAACCAGTGTAAGCTTTTTTATGTTCTTGTGCCATTTGACGACTGCTAGTTTGTGTCTGGAGTATCAACTTCACTCTCTCGATAGGAGCGAATAGAGTTTTAAATGTTGTCGCCAAGACTCCTGATATTAAGAAGGACGCAGCCACATCGGACAGGGATGAAGATTTTGAATCCTCACCACCCATTATGAATCATCATTTATTGCTGATTTGACATGTCAGATTCCTTTCGTATATCTTTAGTATCCACCATTCACATATATTTCTCTATTCACGTAAATTCATTAATTCCTCCTACTAGGTTTAATTAACTTAGAAAATGAAAGGATATACGACGCCATCCTCCACATCACAATAGAAAACTTTTCCATGTTGCAAACTGAATTGTCCTGTACTTATACCTTTGTTTTTTTAACCTTTCAGGGGTTTAATCTAACCTTATTTTAAGCTCTTCTTAAGTATATTTTACAATAATTAATTTCATTAGTGCGTAATGATATCATCAATATATTTAATACATGCCTTGATTATGATATTCATTGACATTGATGTGTGAGTATGAATGCAAACATTGATGGCAATTTAAAGTACAAGAGTATATACAATTGGAAATAATCACAAGCTGACATTCATGTAAATTTTTCATCGGTACGATTATATTAAATTATCTCATATAAGTAAAATGTATGAACGTTAAATGGAGGCAAAACTTGCAGCATACCGAAGTAAAAAACGTAGGGAGGCAATGGTAGAAAGTGCAAAAAATTCTTTCAAAGGTGTTTTGACATGGAACGACAAACTTATTTTACCGTCCGACGAGGTAAGGTTATATATAAAGTTTATATTGCACATGTTATTTTGTTTGCTTATAATGCTTGTAATTGCATGTTATTGGCTTATAAATGCTTCCAAATTAATGGTGAAATGGTGACGTTAACATTAAAGAATGAAAGATTGCAGGATGTGGAAGATGTAGAAAGTATCCAGTCAGATGACAGCATTGATATAACACCGCCACCACCACAGAATCCTATTGTCACGCAGGTGACTTATCTTCTATACTTCCTCCTCTGGGCAACATTGTACATAATAGCTGTACAATTTGAATTTGGAGCAGTATACTTCATATTATCTCTTTTGGTATTGATATGGATAAATACCCGTACAGGCCCAAAGAGAAAAGGAGAACCCAGTGCTTATTCGGTCTTCAATAAAAATTGCGAAGCCATAGATGGTACACTCAATGCTGAGCAATTTGAAAGAGAAATTAGATATGGAGCATCAAGTATGCATTAGTTTTTTAAAGCTGATTTCATTTAATACAGACATGAAAGTATTAATGTGGCAGGGTTCCAGTAATTTTTAACAATATGATGTAATAGAATAATAAATGGTATTTATAAAAATGTTTTTATTAACATGTCTTATTTGTCATGGAGTAAATTATTAGTTACTTATGTGTAATTTCATATATTTTATTCTTATCATTATAATTAAGTACAAGTCATTGATTGTTAATACAAATCTTTGTTAATGCAAAACAATTATCTGTATTGTTTATGCCAAATCTTATATGAATTTCATCATTTGTCTTGTAGGAGTTGATTTACTAGATTATAACAATTCAGCAATTCTTTTAAATGAGTTTCAATAGAACGACCTTGAACATAAGTGTGTAACATGTACAAATCAGTTTTTGAGTTAAAATTTGTATCAGGACACAAAAGAGCTCGATCTAAATCCATTAATAAATCGTTGATCATTCTAACCTCTAGTGGTCTGAAACAAAGTATATTTAAATTATGATTCAAAATAAATTTATAATGAAATAATCATACAACTTACTTTGATCGCTCCATCGTATTAATTTTTTTATTCAGGTTTTCTGCATTTTGTGTTAAATTGTGTATCGACTTGCTCACAGTATCTGTGCATGATACAAACAATATTTATTTTACCATATAATATACACATATACTTACAATATACCTTTGATATTCAAAAGAGCAGGTATATATAAACTATCCAGTGCTTGGTTCACTGTTTTATTTAGTATTTCTGGATTCCAATAAAGGATTGTACTTTCAGAGAATCTCCAAACACTTAAACCAATGATTTGAGCTAAAGCTCTACGATGTGCAATGACATTGCCTGTATGATTGGTTTCATTCCTTGAAGTATTCTTGAAGCCCTGTGTAAGAACACTCAGGTAAATCGAAAAAGAATCACAATATACCAAATTGAATCAGAGCATTTACCATAAATGATAAAATAACATGAGGTATATCTAATTTTAAACGTGACAAAGATACAATTCTGTTAGTGTCCTCATATGTGTCAAAAATTGTTTTCTTTCCATTTGCAGCAGCAGATTCAGTAATGGGATTTTCTATCAATTTTATAGCTTGTAATACAGTAGACAATACAATATCAGATCCGGATGCAACTAAGCGCTCATTTACTGCAAGTAAAAGTTTTACTCTAATAAAATTGTCATAATTATCAAAGTAATATATTACAAAAGTTTAAATTACCTTGTATAGCTTTCCCACGAACTGCAATGTAAGCCAAAATCTTGGAGCGTATATAATTGGGTAATACTTCATGACAAACGTCGCTTGATCCAAAAAAGAAACAAAATACGATTGTTCGTCGCAATTTCCAATTATAATCTTTATGAATTTTGTCAAAAATTCTTGCCAACTCCAAGACAATTTCACTATTGTCTTTATCGACAGACAAAACAATATACCTGTCTAAAAATATTTTTGAATCATTGTACTGTTGCATGGCTCAAAACAACGTATAGCAATTTACCAGATTCTCGAGAACCCTGTACTTTTCCAACAACATACGATTCGTTTTTAAAAACGTTTCGAATAATGCCTAAACCGTTAAGAATATTCTTGACTTTTTGTGTTTCTTCTTCACTGGAACCTCTGCATCCCATTTCAAAAAATAATACAAATGAATTATGTGCAACATATTGTTTAAAACTGTTAAAAAGAACATACGATTGAAAATCTTGAATAGAGGCTTCCGCCAGTTGGCGAATGAGAACATCTTGTATGTGTCCAATACTTTCAAGGCCATTGCCAGCAAGTTCAAGTTTTGTTTTTTTCGCTTGTATTGCCGTGGGCCTTTCGGCAGCAAATCTACCTAGAAAAAACCCACCCAGAACACACAAAAATCCCGCACAGAAGAGTGACGAAAAACATACGCGTTTTGTCACAAATTCACTGGATTCTCCGAAACTCCTGGCCATTTGAATGCTTAAGACTTGATACATTTTATAAAGAACTTTATTGCAAAGGGATTAGTAACGTTTTATTGAAGTAAATTCAATTATTAATCAAAGAATATAAACGAACACTACTAATTAAAAAATTGGAATATTCGATTTTTAAAGATTCCATACTATAGAATACAACAATATTTGATAGACGTGATACAATTATACTGGGAGTAAATTGCGTCGATATTTCTGTGCGTTTGTTTCCTTCATTATTTATATCCAACATGCGACGTAAGTTCCGAAAATGGATCACAGATTAAAAATAATTTAGTTCCGTAATTATTAGAGCATTACAACTTCAATTTTCGTGATTATCTTTGCGCATTTCCATAAGGTGTTGTTTCGTCCAACAGAATCGATAGGAATTGAACTATTGCTCATTTATCGATATTTTAGGGACTCGCGAAAACTTGTTAACGGAAAACGATGTGGGATAAGACTGATATATTTGTCAAGTTCTACTCTCGTTGGCTTCCACCTCTCCATCCTGTTGATGCTTATTTTACACCATTCTGTACTATTCAGCTTCCCAAAATGAACGGGTATTTAAATTTCCTTCAAGAAATGTTTAGTAATAAAAAAGTGGAAATGTTGCGTAATATATTCAACAATAGACTAGAAATGTCAAATTGCATATCCTATTGTTCTGCTTCTAATTTATTTAAAACAATGATAGATATAAGCAAAGTTGTGCAACGCTTTACGAGATTCTAAATATAATGTATAATTTTGTTAGTGTTTCCAAATAGTCTTCGTCATCAACATTTTGGAAATTGCACTACTTTCTCAATAATGCTGCATAAGTGTTTTTTGTTGCTAACCAATTTGTGCATACCATAGTTGTATACTGTCACGACTTTTTTGCTAAGGTTAAAGAACTTTCAGTTGATATTCTACGTAAGTTAATAATAACAACTAAAAAGTATATATTTAATTAAAAAACGGAATATTCTATTTATTTATATATAAATTATAAGGACATCTCAAAACTTATTGCAAGTGCTATAATATCGTCGGAGTTCTTTTTAAATAAAAAATTTAATAAGATGCTATTCAGTTTATACTATTTAGAGCCCTGACAGCGCGCAATACTTAAAGTCGTCTTTAAGATGTCCAAAAGACAACCTATTTAACACTAGACGTCTTTAAAATGACTTTTGGAGGGTACGTCTTGTCTGGGAGTAAATTATGAAATGCGCACTACACATATGTTTTAAAATCTATTAGAAAGCGTAGATCGTAAATTACATTGAAATAAATATTTTTTGCTTTCCCTTAACCCTTTAGTAATTGCGTCAGCTTTCGTAACATTAGTACTTGTGTGGAGGCCGAAAACATCCCATATTTTTAATGAAATATATAATATATTAAATGCAAATGCAAAAATATTATTCTGTACGAGAAATTATTGTTATTTATGCGTATGGCTAAGAGAATCATTTGTTTTACCGTTTAAATTAACTGTGAATAAATAAATAAATAAATATTAGAAACAAATGTTTCTAGTGATGGCGTGAAAAATTAAAGATCAGGGGGGTCTTTCAGGCCCCTACATGAGCATTGGAGGGTTAACTTCATGAAAATATGTTCGAGAAAACATTGGATGATATTTAGAATTGTATTATTTGTTTTAACTAAGTAATTTTTTTTACATTCCACCGTTTGACCATATTCCACCAATGCATTGTATTTGTGACGACATAAATATTTTTATTTGATACCCTTTTATTTTATATACCTACCCTATTTATGCCGTTATTTTCCTCGAAACTTTGTTTCCTCTTCTTTGACCAAGGGATTACCATATTTTTATATTTTATACTCGGTGGGTGAAAATAATTATTATAAAATTGACCGTTAAAAACATTTAAAAAATAACATTATACAATGGCAGGAAGTTCTAAACATCAGTATAGATATCAGTGTTATTTGAGCCAGCTCCCCACTCTAGCAGAACGTTTTATAGTTCCTGTGAAGGCTGGTAGAGAACAAAGGATCTGCCATTGCGGCAGAAAATTTCAAGGACTACGGACGTGCCTTTATTTGTGCTGACTGAGTGTTCTAGAGTATTCATTCGAAGGCAGCCAGAAGAACTAAAGTATCTTCTTTGTTCGATAGATTTCACATACAGCTTCGATTTAACTGCGGTAAGGAATTTGGTATTACATTTATTTATCTTTCAAACATTTATTTATCCTTCAAAAAATCATAAAGGATTTGTTTACTTACAAGATAAAGGTCAATGATAGTTGGTTTGAAATTAAAGCAGTTGGCCTTCATTATTATCGCTTTGTTACGATTTTAATAATATTCAGTGAATAACTACATAATTCAGCATTTAAAAATTTATTTATATGGAAATAAAAAAGTATTATATTTTTCATTGATAAATTATTTAGTTATTATTTTGTCATTGATAATATGATAACGATATGCTTTTAATGATAAGTTATAGTTGCACATCATCATGGGAGAATCCATACAATTAGAAACATGTCCATATGATCCATCACATCGGATTCGTAGATACAAGATGCCAATGCATCTTGTAAAGTGTGAAAAAAACCATCGTGCATCTGGAAAAGTTCGATGTCCTTATAATGCTGTGCATATTGTTGATCCAGTCGAGTATCAGGTATAAAGCTAAATTATTTATATCTTTATATAGTATGGTAAATTATCCAATATATTCAATGATACTAAAAAAGTGTATTCATTTTGAAGGCTCATCTCAGTACATGCCTGGATTACGCGATTGAGCTAACAAAGGTGTACAAAGTAGATACTCCTCAACAATTAAATGTTATTCCTATCGAGGATGTAGTAAACAAGGATATTGTACCAACGGAGGAAGACTGGGACAAGGCAAATTAATTTCTATATTGCATGTTTTTACAAATTGAATAGATTATTGTATCTCATTTGTATTCTGGGATATTATAAATATTTATAAGATAAACTTTTTTTCTTAAGGAACCCGAAGCGAAACCTTATGATCCGCTAAAGCATTCTGAAAATAAATTGGTATATAGACGTTTGAGTGTTGCTAGTAAATCAGAAAAGAAGGCTTTTATGGAAACAGAAAAACGACGTTGGCAAGCATTGGTGAACGAAAATAAAACTCCGCAATCAAATAATCTACAGAAGAATAAAGTAATTATATTCTTAATTTCATATGAATTGATTTAAATCTGTACGTTTAATGATTGTTATGTTTTAATCATTTAGCGATCCGGGCCAATCGTGCAAGAAACACGGCTACCGGCAAAGGCGGAGAAACTCAGTGTTCCAAGAGAAAGCATTGAGGACTTTAGGGATGATGAGTCTGTAGCAACCTCATTAACTGACTACGATATGGATTTAATAGTAGAAACTATTAAGAGCGATATGAACATAGATTCAATGAAGAAGCTTATGTTAAATGAGGAAGTATCAATTCCAGGAAGAATCAGACAGAGTGACATTGCAAAGTCTTTCCAACATCTCAGTATTGCAGATGCAGAATTAGTAATTGCAGATAATGAATCTATTGCTTCGAGTAATACTCTAACAGACAGGCAGTCAAACATGTCAGATCTTATTACTATATCAACTTATTTGGCAAAGAAGAAAGCAATGTTTGAAGAGCAAATTAATAATATTAGTTCTATAACTGCTGATCCACGCATACACAAAATGCTCAAAGATGCTGCACAGGCAATTCCCAATGTTAGTGACATTTTTTCAAACGCATCTCAGCAGGATGTATCTGCAAATGGAAATGGACGATTAGGTACAGGTTTGGATGAATTTTTCGACTCGTACTTTAAAACAGAACATGTCGAAGATAATGTTGAGCAGAAAGCTTTTCTTAATCCTTTTTATGATCCTCAAAATCATAATTCTCAATCTAACAATACATGTGATGCTCCTCGTGGTTTTTCATATTCTCAAGCTCTATCTGGTCGTTCTACACCAGCTCAATCATTGCAGAATAATAATGTTCCTAATATGAATGACATCAATTTTTCACAAAATAATGCAAATAATGACAATTCTGTTATGAGCATTGGCCGCGGAAAGAAATCTATGTCCAAACTATACTAAGCCATCTGATTCTCAAACACTTATGACAATGTGTCGTCAAAAGTGGAGCAGCAACTTAATATTTCTAATTATTTTAACATTTCAATATGAAATTTTATTTTTCTATTAGATATAATTTCAAGTCTTATTATCGAACTGCGTTTCTTTTTAGTTACATATATGAATACGATGTCAAATTGAACATAAGTTACTATTTTTGTTTACCACAATGTAACTGAACATTTCTTTGTAGTTTAATTACGTTTAATCAAATAATATGTAGTAAGTCATGTTAAAAAACAGAGGCTCTCAGATAATTGCCAAGATTATTACATGATATTTGTCTCTTTTATGTTGTGCCATCTAACATCTTGGTCAAAAATGTTTTCTATTATTGTCACCAAATAAAAGTAAGAAATTTAAGGATAAGATTTATATTCTTAAGGTAGAAATCAATGTACGCGGTAATGTTCCTGAATGTAATACCATTTATTTTCTTTATAAAACAATGAGACTTTGTTATTTTTATATACGTACAAATAGATATCTGAAAACCAAAGTGCCTTCAAATAAAATATTTGTATATTTTATATACTTCTGATTAGTATTATTCTTCCAATCTTCTTACATCGAAAATTCTGCCAATATTTAGATAAAATAACTAATGTAACTGTAACTTATCTATGTCGTGCGCGTTCATGACTCTTCAAGTATCGTTTCTGTCCAAAACTTATGCCACATTGTTGGCATACGTATGGCTTTTCTTCAGAATGAATACGTTTATGTCTAGTCAAATCATTCTTAACACCAAAACCTTTTCCACAAATGTCGCATGTATGATTCTTTTCTCCAGTATGAATAGTTAAATGTCCTAACATTTGTTGCCTCCATCGAAACGCTTTAGCACAGTAGGTACATTTATGAGGATATTCATCCGTATGAGTTTTACTATGTATATACAAGGAGGCTTTCGTCTTAAATGTTTTTCCACAAGAATCACATATATATGGCCTCTCACCCGTATGAATCCTTCGATGATCCTCCATTGCAGCTTTCATAGCGAAACTCCTTCCACAAATATCGCATGAGTGATTTTTAACTCCACCATGCACGTGTTTTAAGTGGTAATAGAGACTACCTGTCTGACCAAATTGTTTACCACATATGTGACATGTGAATGGCTTCTCTCCTGTATGAGTACGCATATGTGTGCGATAGCTTTCCTGTAGACGAAATTTCTTGCGGCATAATTTGCATTCAAAAAGATTTACTGCAAGGCTTGGCCGAGGTTGAGGTTCAGGTGAATCCAATTCCTCTGTTGAGCTCTCATCTTTCATTGATTTTAAACATGTTTCGATTACATGAACAGTGTTTACGTGTTGATCCAGAAGTGCTTGCTGGGTGAATACTTTCGCGCAAATTGCACAGCTTTGATATTCTGAAGTACAACTTGTGAGGCTAGAAACGTCGGTGTTCTCTTTTTCATCGTTACTCGGAATGTTTGATTTTTCTAATTTTATCAGGGCTTTGAGGGATTTTTCATTACTTCGAGAATCTTTTATTAGATTGTTAGAGGCAGGTAGGGAACCATTGTCTATGGGTTCATGTTGTGTATCAGTTGAAGAAGGCTGTACAGAATTTTTACAAGGATAGAGGAACGCTCTGTAGATCTTTTGAAAATCGGTGAAATTGGAGAATCTAGTGTGGAAGCCATCGTGATCGTTAAACCTGTAAGTATAAGAAAGACATGGGAGATGTAATAGAATTTCAATGACAGTAAGTAAAGTTTTACTTTATCGTATATTAATTGAGATATTGAAATGTACAGAGGATTTTCATGGTTATATATTTTTTTACAGTGTCTATGTCCCAAGAGATAGCTCGTGTTTAATTGCATGCTGCCTCGTTCTAAGATTCGTGTAAAAGATAAGGCAACTAATATTTAAATGTACATAAATATAGGTTTAGTTGCGCGTCTCTGTTAACTCTGCCAACAGTAAACCTGATTGGTCCTTGTGATGCTGTTTAATGTGAGTTCTGAGATATCGTTTCTGACCAAACTTTAATCCACAACTAGTACAAACATAAGGTTTATCTTGATTGTGGGTAGCACGGTGTCGCATGACTTCGCCCTTTACAGAAAAGAGTTTCCCGCATATTTCACATGAAAATGCTTTGACGCCAGTATGCGTGGTTAAATGATTGTTCAGTCTTTGTCTACAACGGAAATGTTTGTCGCAATGAGGGCACTTGTGTGGTTTATAATTAGTGTGCGTACGATTGTGAATATAGATTGAATTTAAGGTACGAAATGTTTTTGGGCAATGTTCACAAGCGAACGGTCTTTCCCCTGTATGGATTCGTCTATGGTCATCTCGCGCCCCTTTATTTGCAAATGGTCGATTACATATATCGCAGACGTATCTTTTCAAGCCCTCGTGAACGTCCCTGATGTGTCTTGCCAAATCTTGCTCAATCCTATAACACTTGCCGCAATGCTCACATTTACAGGGTCGTTTATCCAGGTGAATACGAATATGCCGAAGAAATCCTCTTTTTGTTAGTATCACTTTCTCGCAGGTATTACATTTATACGACACCCGTTCACAAATTGTCTGCTTAGCACGTTCCAGTAATTCTATTTCATCAGGTAAATTAGTCTGCTCGGTATCTTCATGTTCGTTCAAGTGATACTTGAGTAAGTGCTTTCGGGAAAAGCACTTTCCGCATATATCGCACTCGTATGACTTGCTTGTTGCATTGCTATCCAGAATTTCGTTATTGTATTCCTGAAGTAAATATACCTGGGAATTTATTTTCTCTTCGAACGATTGCTCCAGGCGTTCTTTTTCTAACGTCTTCAAGGAACGCATCCTGGTGTAGCTGTTATCGTGGCTTATTACGTGTTGCTGAAAATCTTCGAAATCTCCTCGATATACCAGTTTACATAATTCACAATAATGCACTGGCTGGCCATGCTCAGTGTTCATATGAATGACAAGGGTAGCTATGTCTACGAACATAGCCGCGCACTGTTCGCACTCGACATATTCCACCTGCTCGATCTTCACATCGTGAAAGTCATCCACCTCTTTCTGTCTGGCGATCATCTCTTCGTGTAACCTGGAAACAAACAGTCCAGTATCATGTTGGAGTACGCGCAGTTTTGTGCATGTTCCTTGTGTGATTCTTGAGGTATCGTTCTTGTGAGAACCCAGCCTCGCAAATAGAGCATCGATGTAGTTTCTGACTACTGTGAGTACGCTTATGTCGACTAATACAGCCCTTGCTACGAAAATGTTTGCCGCACAGATCGCAAGTGTAGGGTTTTTGCCCAGTGTGAATGAGAATATGTTTATTAAGTTCCTGTTTCCTTCGAAAGCCACGGTCACACAGCGAGCACGAGTGAGTAAAATCTTTTGCATGAAAACGCTTATGAACGTGAAGCGAGGCTCTTTGCTTGAATGACTTTCCGCAAGTCTCGCAGACATGTGGACGCTCTCCAGTGTGAGTCCTACGATGTTCGTCTCTGGCAATTTTCGTGGCAAGTTTACGGTCGCATATGTCACACGCAAAATTCTTTGCTCCAGTATGAACATCTCGAACGTGCCTGTTTAAACCGGAAGCAGCGCTAAAACTTTTTCCACATATATGGCATGTATATGGCCTTTCTCCTGTATGCACAGTGAGATGCGTCAAAAAGTTATAGGAGGTCGATAAAAATTTACCGCATTCGCGACACTTATAGTGCGTAGATCCGTTTGCGGATATTTGACAACGTGCCAATTCCGCGCGTTGTTCTGACGTTCGTTTTACGCGGGTTGTAACTGTCTTATTGCCCTCTTTTTTAGATTTTTCATTCTGTACCTTAAGCTCTTTCGTCATTTCTAGATTCGGTTCGTCTTCACTTTTTAAAGATAGTTCCTCAGGTTCAGTCTGAAGTTTTGATTTCTGCTCAATATCAACAGTGTTGCTTGGCCTCTTGAATTTCTCTTTGCTGGATGCTTCATCTTCTATGATTTTATTTTTGTTATATTTCTTCACAGATCTTTCCTTGTTATTAACCGCGATGATTTTATTGCCACAGTTAACAACTTCTAATCGCTGTATTTCTTCTTTAATATGCAACTTTCCCCGCCTGCACATTGGCATGAGTTTAGCACCTTGACAAGAATACCTGAAAAGAGATATTCGGTGTTACTCGTGCGTAGGCAATGAAGGAATTGTGTTGTGATTCAGTTTTTTATGATTAACTAAATAACGCTTTTGGCGGAAAGAGAGCCCACAGTCTGTACATTGCCAAGGTTTCTCATCAAAGTGTATCAGTCGATGTCGCTTTAGTTCATATTTTATGCGGAACCGGCGACCACATATGTCACATGCATGGGGTTTTTCACCAGTGTGCTTAGTGATATGCACCATTAGAGGTGGTCTGGTACGAAAGCCTTGATCGCAATAGCTACATTTGAATGGAAAAAAGTCAGTATGCGTGCGATTATGCACAAACAGCGAAGCCTTTTGTTTAAATGCTTTTCCACATATGTTGCAGACGTATGGTCTCTCGCCAGTATGTATTCGTCTGTGATCCTCAGCGTTACGTTTTGTAGAAAACATACGACCGCAAATATCACAAGGAAACTTCTTGATACCCGCATGAGTCTCGCGTAGATGTCTTGCCAACCCCTGATTGACACGGAATTGTTTTCCGCAAAGATGGCAAGTAAAGGGACGTTCACCAGTGTGAATTCTCATATGCCAAGAAAATGTATAAGGGGAATAAAGATTTTTACCACATTCGTTACAATGATAATAAACTCTTCCATTCACTTCCATTCTTGCACGTTTTACAGTCTCTTTGTCTATGTTTCTCGGCTTTTTACTTTGTTTCTTAATTGACAATTCTGGGTGGTATTCCATATTGTGTAATTCAAGTAACTTCTTTTTCTTAGCCGTATAATCACAATGCATGCAAGGATATGACTGAAGTCTCCTTCTTCTAGACTTAGTGCATGCTTCCCAATCAACACTCTTGTCATCAGTTTCACTTTCTTCTTCAGTAACATTCGGTTCCTCGATTTCAACGAGCTTGGTCTTTTGTGAAGATTCCGCATTAATACTTTCAGTGTAGTCCTCGCTGTCGCTTCTTGTCACGAATTTCTCGTGGCAGTTTGCCACGTGCCGCTTATAATGAAATTCCCTTTTGAAAACTCGATCACATTTTTCACAAGGGTGCATCGTCTTAGCTTCTTTCGAGACATGCTCGTTGGATATCACAGAATTTCGTGCAATTGTCCGAGTAGGATTTCTTCTTTGGATATGCGTTCCTCTACTTTCCGGTTGGTACTCTGAGTCGGTGCTTCCATCCACCGAATTCAGACTACTCTCGTCGTATGTCAGCACTTCTACTTTAACTTCGTCAGACTCTCCGGTTTGGGCTAAGGGATCAGTCACTTCCTGCTCTCCAGGATCCGCGCATTTTCGATTCAATTGTGCGGGACTATTTCTGGATAAAAGTGCCGTTTGAGCTGAACGGTATGCCGCAAAGGATTTCTTCCTTGGGGCGCCAAACCTGGAAACATAATAAACGCAGGAGATGTGAATGACTTCCCTCTTGTAGCGGTATCGGTTGTAGGGAATAGGATGGGTGACAATCGTATACTAGCAGTTTCGAAAGGATTCGATGTGTCTGCTCTTAATGTGATTGTTGAGATAGCGCTTCTGACGAAATGCGAGGCCGCACTTTGTGCACACAAATGGCTTGTCCTCGGAATGAATAAGTTTATGTCTGACGAGTTCCGATTTGACACGAAATCGTTTTGAGCATACGTCACATCCGTAATTCTTCTCGCCGGTATGAGTGGTGACATGTGCCAGCATCTCTTGTCTTCGACGAAATTTCTTATTACAGTAGGAACACAGGTGTGGAAACTCATCTGTATGCAGTTTGCTGTGTATATAGAGAGACGCTTTTGATTTGAATGTCTTGCCGCATGAGTCGCAGATGTAAGGTCGTTCTCCTGTGTGAGTGCGACGGTGATCATCCCTGGTAGCCTTGGAGGCAAACGACCTGCCGCAAATATCGCAGGAAAAGTTTTTCACTTTAGCGTGCACATCTTTTAGATGTCTGGATAAACCGCCAGAGTCGCGAAATTGTTTTCCACAAATGTGACAGGTAAAAGGTCGCTCGTCTGTATGTATTCTCATGTGCCTTAGATATGAGTCTTTTAATTTAAAACACTTTCCGCATTCTAGACATTGATAAGATTCTTGTATGTCGGTTAAAACTTTGTGTACTTTACTATGCTCTTGTAAGTCTCCGGCCAGATCAAACTCTTGTGAGCATGTTTCACATTTAGTCCTTATTCTCTCCTGCTCCTCATTCAAATTATTCTCTACGGCTATCGTATGCGTGTGAAATTTACTGTATCCCTTGGTGATACCTTCTTTCGATACATTGGACTTATCTTGTTTAATTTCAGAATCATTACTAGCCAGTGGGTCAGACATCATTGGAGCCTGGTGAAGGGTCGCGTCCACAACGGTTATCCAAGCCGAGTCTGTATCCCTTCTCATCATGAGTTTTCTATCATGTGGTTGATTTGGGCTTTTGTACGGCTTCCAAAATATATTCTGCGTGTCAAGGAATACTTTAAATGGTGTCTGGACTCTACTCGACCTGCAAAACAGTCAAAACTTGACTCCAGATTTGCAGTTGTGTGACGAGACAGAAGGTGGGTGGTGTACAGTCCGTTAATCAATTTGCACAAGGGAAATCGTCACCTTTTCATTGATCTTAAATCATTGGAGTCATCGGCATTGAAATGTATATCGTCTGGTCTTTCTATATATGTTAAACAAAACGCGGTATTCATTACCAAATAAGAAATTATTAGTTAGTACATTAATGAAACTGGTATTCGATGAGGCTTTTGGAAAGTTTAGGTTACCACTTGATTCCAAATTCATTTTTCTGGTACGCCCAATACCGTCTTGTTCATCAGTTTTTGCGAGACATTCTGTTATATTGACACGACATAGATACGAGTGTTTATACATGAAAATCTTTCGCAGTTCATCCAATTTTCGCTGCGTAGATTATTGCATTTTTAGCACGTTCATTTTACTTTTTTTCTCCTTTCATCCGAGACTCTTAGCTTCCATTTGGAGTTTTTTGTTCCAATGTATTCAATCTGAGTATCTAGAAGTGTACATCTCCTGAATTTCGTTCAGTTTTTTTACAACAAAAGTAAAGCACAAGGTGCCGGTGGATGCCATGGATTATCGCTTATATTCTCGATTATGTTTACTGATGTGCATTTATTTGGAGTAAAGAGGCGATGATCGGATTTTGACAATTTCATGAATATATTAGTTTGTCATGCAGTTCTCTTAAGTCACTAACCGATTGACTGGCGGTGAAAGCAAAAATTTTTTATTCCACATTCATATAATGTTCTAAATAGGTAATAATAAAATAACTCATAATGCTCTACCCCGACCACCCACCTTTAAAGTTAACCTGTCTCACATCCCATCCTCTATTGGTTATGATATTATATTATGTTTTTTTTACGTTTCAATTGATTTTTACTCAATAGCTAATTAGGGTTATTTAATTTAAAGTAAGGGATATTTAAATAAATAATTGCCTCATTTTTATATATAAGATCTTAAATATAGGTTGAACTTATATGTTGAACTGTGTATAGATAGAGTAAGATAATGAAATAAATTGAGCTATGTATAACTTAATAACTAACAGTATTTAATACTGATGATATATGTCTAAGCATGGTTAACATTGTATTTGGAAGACTATAGATTTGATAACATACTGCATAAGCAGAAGGGAAACTCTTGAACAAATGGAAAACAATAAAATGACGTCCATGGTATGGATTTATCATTAATTACTAATAAAAGATAGTAAAAGTAGTCTAAACTTGATTATCAAATGAATGATACTCCAATTTTACTTTTCAGGGATATTTTAAACTAGGCAAAAATGGTAAATTTTCCATAATAGAAAAAAGTCTTTACCTTTCAGTATCATTGACAATTGTCTCCTCATTCAGATCTCCTTTCATATGATTCTGCTGCTCATCATGTGGCTGTAAAAAAAACCTAACTTGTCACATCAATAGTAAATATAAGCATTAAACTTTTCCTTGATTGCTTTAAGCTGTATATGAAACTAAATATTCAAATGATTTTGTATACTCGATGTCTCAATACTACGTTAAGAAATTACATCATTCAACTAGCTATTGAATCAAATATTAATACCTCATTAACATTTGTAAATATTTTTAATTAACATTTAGAAAGCAAACCTGTTGTTTATGTTGAAATTCTTCTTGCATTTGAAGAAGACGACGTTCAGCATCCAAGCATCCTTCAGCCAATTCGTGCCATGCTAAAAGTGTTGCTGCACAGTGGTAACACAGCTGGAGTGGCAAATTATCAGTTTCAGATACCTGAAATATTATTAATATTAAATATATGCTTTTTACATAATAAAGTGAAGCAGTACTGGATCACTATGCTTACATGAATAGGGAGGTATTTATGAATTTTGTTACATAGCTCATGCTCAGCACCCTCACCCTCGAAAATCGGGATTAGATGGTCATTTAAATTAGCACAAACTCTGCACATATCCATCCAATTTGAATTCTCTTCAGGGTGACTAATTGTATCAATCACTTTTGTATTAGTAACTTCTATTTGACCATTCTGGTCATTCTGGATATTTGTCACCACAAAATATTCCTCCGGAGCTTCTTCATTTTCTTCATTCTCTTGAACTATATTCTTTACAGTTTGTATCAGTATAGATTCATCTTCACAAGCCTCCAACTCAACTGATGTTCCAACCTCCATCTCATCTGCAAAGCCAAACATTCTTATGTCAGTTATATTATACTATATAAATTATTATGTCGAAATATATACTTTTATGCACAGTAGAGTATAGAAGAGTATGAAACTTGAAACGGGAATTTAATTTTTACATGTTTAATTTATTCATAAATTTGTTAATTATGTTGCTCTTTCCCGATCTTCAAAATTAGTACAATGGATACATCAATTTTGTACATGTATGCTCACAACAATCTCGTGTTATTAATTTATTTGCTAAAGTTTACTTGATAATATATCAGATAGATTTTATAGTAATTTGACAAGTCACTCACATTCTTGAGGAACGCCACTCATTATTCTTCATAAAAAAATGGCTTGGCATTTGTGTAGCACAGAATGGAGCATTTCACTGCCGAACTATAGCATTGCAAAAAATTATTAGTTTGATGGGTCAATTCATGAGGTTTAAACTAAATGACACAATGCATGAAAAATATTCATTACATTTCAATACTTTCAATTAGTTCCAACATAAACAAATAATCTATACAGTAAGGTATGTACTAATGTCTGAATCAGTCTGAATACGAAACAGGATATCACTGAATATCACACAAATAAAAATTGAGAAATAAAGCATTATTACCAAGCCAACGGTACAAAATGTGTCACTACTATCTTTGCTGAAAATGCGTACACGATATTCAATTTAGAAACTGATTCCAACTAAAAATTATTAATCGTTCTATAAAAATTGACCCTAGGGAAATATTGACTTTTTGAAAACTTCCGGTTATGTTTGTTGACATTTGCTTTTAGTCTAAAGCCGTAGCGTTGGGCATCTGCCTACTCATCTGTGCGCTGACTGTCGCAGCCAGTCGCAGTCAGCGAGTCTTAGATGATTTTCGTGCATTTATGGTCAGTTTCAACGATTTCGATATATTTTGACGCTGTTCAAACATACGTGTTTTGTTGGGTAGATAACATAAAAATAAAATTGTCATTTAATACCACCATCTTATATCTTTATACATTACGAAGGTACGTTCTGGATATCATGGTGATACAAATATCAATTTCTATATTCATATAAATTTTAGGGGTAGTAATTGATCAAATAAAAAATAGTTTTCATAAAACTTAATATACGCGGTATAATTATCGTTATATGATACTTTCGTTTGTATTTAAGGTTAATTTGCTCATTGACTGAAGGAACTTTTCCTTCTAACAACAAAAAAATGGCACATTATAAAGGAGCTGCCAGTGAGGCTGGCAGAGCTATGCAACTTATGAAAAAGCGTGAAATTGCACAACAGGAGATAGAATTGCGAAAAAAGAAAATTGAAGATGACCTTAAAATTCATAACATTGAAAATAAATTTGCTACGCATTATAATGCTGTGGAACAGCAACTCAAAACGTCTACGATCGGTCTTGTTACTTTAAATGAGATGAAGGCAAAACAGGAAAATATTGTGAAGGAACGAGAGAGAAAATTAGCACAAAAAGAAAGAGAAAAGGAGCAGGAGAAAGAACGAGCGTTAGCTGCTAAACAGGCTGAGAAAAATAAGCAAAAGAAACAAATACAAGCTCTATCATTCAATCTGGATGAAGAAGTTGAATGCTCCGATGAGGATTCAGATGCTAAATCTGAAAAATCGAATAAATCAAAGAGTAGTGATAGTTCTGTGTCACCAGTGAAAAAAATTAAGAAGAATCCTGATGTAGATACCAGTTTTCTACCAGACAGAGAAAGAGAAGAAGAGGAAAATAGATTAAGAGAGGAGTTAAGGCAAGAATGGGCTAGGAAACAGAATGCTTTGAAGGAAGAGGAAATTGAGATTACTTTCAGTTACTGGGATGGATCAGGCCACAGAAGAAGTGTTATAATGAAAAAAGGTAGAGGTTTATGTAGAATAATTGATATAATCTTCTTTCGAATCGTACAATTTGATTCTATGAAGTAATTATACATACAGTGCAGAAGAATTTCTGTATTAATCGATATTAGTTTGTACTGTCGGCAGGTAATTCAATATATCAACTTCTCCAACGATGTCTGGAGGTATTAAGAAGAGAATTCAGCGAGCTCAAGACGGTAATGGCTGATCAACTGATGTACGTCAAAGAGGATTTAATATTACCACATCATTACACATTTTATGATTTTATTGTGACAAAGGTAATTTTTACATGTATCTAATAACTTTTCCAGATAAACTGTCAATATGTTTTGAAATATAAGAATAATTTTGTTGTTTTAGGCTAGGGGAAAAAGTGGTCCTTTGTTCACCTTCGATGTTCATGATGATATTCGTGTAATGCATGACGCTTCCGTTGAAACGGAGGAGTCCCATGCTGGCAAAGTATTACTTAGGTACTAAATATTACTTCAAATACGGGCACAATACACATGTGATCTTACCATAAGTGATATAAAAAATTTCTACTTTTCCTAAATCACTTAAATAATTTATAATTACAGATCTTGGTATGAAAGAAACAAGCACATCTTCCCAGCTAGCAGGTGGGAACCTTTTGATCCTACAAAAAGCTACGACAAGTACACTGTGTCGGATAAAAATAAGAAGAAAGACAAACTTTAAGAAAGTTAAGTGAATTATGTTTATTTGTATATAACACACGTTCCATTTCAACAGCAAGATGCAATTAGATGAAATTTCGTAAGGAGGTGATTATATCCTAAAGTGTTTCTACGATTCTCAAAATTGTGTCTTCTATTTTGTGCACACAAAGAATCGGTGATGGAGCAATAGTGGCCAAATCATATCTGATAAAATAGAACAAGTTTCGAACAGTACATCACAAATGAAATGAACCAGGGTGTATAAATTATCTTTAATCTTTTGAATACTGGTCCATAACATAAGACGTAAGAAAAAAAAACAGATACACTGCCTTGTAGTCGTATGATGAATGGATTTGTTATTATGCAATCAGGGTTTCCTATGTGTTATATCTCATTAGTACTGACACACAGAATGAGAAACCTGTATAGTTAATAGCATACAATTCAATTAAAATAATGTATATGAAAATGTTGGATATAGAATCGAAATAAATATATTTCGTGGGATGTGTTAGTTAACTGTTAATTTTTCGCGTTTTATTGTAAGGTGCTCAGAACTTATTTAATATTCACTGGCTATGTTAGGTTGATACCTTAACTGGAATAGAGGCATTGAAATTTGAGCTTCTTTGATTAGTTCATTAATAATATCTTGAGATATATCTCCTACAGTGTCAATAGTTGATACGGAGGAAAATGAAGGAATCGTGCTTTCGTTTGACTTAGTTTCCACATTTTCTGTTGGACTAACTATGATTTCTGCAACGTGCTGTAATGTTTGGTCCTTGTTATTACTTTCTGCGTGATATTCCTCGATTAATTTTCGTATTTCATTTTCGGAAATGGGCAATATTTCCTAAAAGCATGTTCATAGTTAAAATATTTTATACTTGTTATATACTAACCACGCATCGAGTTAATACATACTTTGGATTTTGATTCAGCTAGTGTTTGTAGTGAATGATTAATACAGTCCAGTTTGTGTTCCAAGCATTCATGCTTTCCGCATTTTATATTTTGGGATAGTTTGAACTTGCGAGGATTAATATGCTTGAGCAAAGCGAATGAGAATTAAAAGTGTTAAAATTAGATATTATATTATCTTTATTACAACACTTTACTTACTGCGAGCTTTTCATCTAATTCCTTTAGTTGTCTTATGGCATTGGCATCAAGTGAATATGGATTGTCATTTGTCCGACACTTTTTATCACAATTTATTGATTCACTATTTTTTTTAGTATCATCTGGTTCTATTATCAGAAGATTCTCCAATCTTTGTTTTTCTTCGTCTGTTATTGCTAATGATCCCATAGAGCATGCAGCTAACTAAAAGTATTTCTTCTACAATTGCAATGGTTTAAAAATAGATTAAAAGTAAATGTATCGGTGGTAGTTACCCTTTTATTCCTTTCAGTAAATATAACATTCTTTCTTTCAAGCATAGATAGTTTCTTTTTTAGTTGCTGCTTTTCAGTGGCAAACTTTACAAATGTTGATTCATGTGTGTTCATATTGTTTATTGTAGATACCTCGGGAAGTCGAGGATGGTTGGCATTTTCTATATTAAATATTATAACATTTAATGATAATTTGCTCATGGACAATCAGGATTTGTATTTTCACAATGTACCTGAAGTTACGTTTTTAATTCCAGGACACAATTGAAAAAATGCTTCTGTATTTTTCAATAATCTTCCTGTTTCAGGAGATCTCAGTAACAATAATTTTCCAAGTTCTTTGCGATTTTGTCGTTGACAATATAAAGTGTCTGTAACTTCTTTCTAAATCATCCATAGAACATACCCCAATTTAATTAAATCAATATTTGAACAAAAAATGGGTTGCCTATGACTACACGTATGCGATACTTTGTTTTATCAATAATATCCTTTCAACATTTCAGCAATTCAGTGAATTAATTTGTCTTTGAAATTACCTCAATTCTTTTCTCCAATTCATTAATGGACTCGTCAAGTTCGTTCATTCTCATAATATTTGTTTCCTTCCTTTCAACACTTTCATCCGCATTGCAATCCCCCAAGCACTTTGTGTTTCGTGACTGGTATTCCCTCACAGGAAATAGTTCATCAGGATTTCCATTGATAATAGTTTCAATTGATAATATTCTCTCCGGCTCATTCTCTCTTGATGACAGACATTCACGTAGTTTTAATACGGAATCAGAAACGTTGTTGTAATCCAGTTGCAATTCTCTCAGACCGGCTACAGCTTCTTCGAAGATTAACGAGCGATGTCCTTCGACTATATATATATTTTTCGTGCAAATCAATTTTAAGGAAAAGATGGGAAATAATGTAGTACGGATAACATTAAAGTGGAATTCACAAATATGTATATCGAAGTGTGAACGGACATTGAATTATTGCAGTATTCAGTATACATATATTCTTGTAAACAGGTGACCCTACAAATAATTATATACAAGCTACATTCTAATTAAGAGTGAAATTCAATATTTAAAGCATAAAGCTATAGCGATAAATAATAAGAAAATAAACTATGAGAGAGTAACAAAGTCACCTTTCAAATGCTATCAAATATTTGAAAAAGACCTTTGTGCAATTCATGCGTGTTTTTGAGAGGAGACTGTGAAGTTAAAATGATTGATAAGCGGTTTACCTATAGTATACAAATACAAGCATATAAAAAGTAATTCAAGACAAACTAAGACCATTGCGCACTACAGTTTATTTTCGGTAGTCCCTATATCCATTTCCTCACTTGAGTCTGGTAATACGATTGTACCTCGTCTAGGTTTCCATGAGATTTCCATATCAGGCTCTCTCTCATCATTCTCGTCGCTCCCGAGATTCAAGGTTGAATTTTCATTGGAACTTAAATTCGCGTCGTCACTTTCTAAGGACATCCCGAGGCGATCAGATTCCTTTGGAAATAATTTCGAGGCACTGTCCAGCAGTCGTGCTGCCGGTGTTTCTTCTTTCAGTTTATCTTCTAGTTTGGATCCTGAAGCCATATCCGAACCGTCTGATTTGGCTTTAAAATCCGTGCTGAATTGCTCATTTAAGCGACTCGAATTTGTTTGAACCATATCGTTCCTTCGTGGCGACGAGGAACCGGGTCGTAAATGATTTCGTAGACGAGGATATCGGGATTTTTGTCGAGAATCCTCTTCGTCGCTACTACCCTCTGTATACAGTTCTTCCCCGGAAATCCATAGATCCTCATCCTCCTGAAACGCATAGTAAAAATTATCAATCTACTTCTTGCATTTAATAAATTATATTTAGAACAAATTAATATAGTTGTAGCATCTCACCTCCCTCCTTAACCTTGCAAGTTGAGTTTGTACTGCAAGTTTGGCAAGATAGGCTTGCGACGCATTCTTTGAGGAATCTTTCGACATCTTACCTAGAGTTTATAACAATTTCATTACTTTTTAGTATGCTGTTGCCTGTTACGCATGAAGCACCTTTCACGGCGATCGTAAAGAACCAGCAGACAAAAAAGAGCTACGGTTGCCAATGTCAATAAAGGAAATCTACTGGCTCAGTGAGATTCATCACGGTTGCACAATTTCACAATGCACCTACGACTGTACATGCATTTATTTACATAGCCTGGAATTTCATTCCCAATTACAATAAATTCTCCCACTGTAACCAGTTTGACTGGATCATCATTTGATTCTCTCCCGGTCGCGACGAACATCCAATGGAAACGATTTGAAGTGCACAAACTTGTATCCATACCCGTATACCATAAGGATAGTCTGATTCAAATGATATTTATGATCTCACCCAATAGGATTAGTATCTACATTTTGTATACGTATAAAACGAAATACTCCTTCCACATGATATGACACTATTATGAAGTGGTTAAAGATTGCCTAACGATATAAATCACACAAAAAATATAATAATCTCTATAAATCGTGGATATTAATTTTTTCAGTTTTTTCTTACAGCCTACAATAATTTTCTCTCAAGATTGTTATTTTTTTCTTCACTATGAAACTCCGCTCGATACAAACTTTAAGTTACACTCGTTTAGTATCTTTGATGCGATAATACGTTATAGAATTTGGCTTTATCCAATGGAACTCACCCTGTGAGTGTCGCCGACGGGCGACATTCTTTGAGAGCGTACTGGCTTTTGAATGCTACGAGGGCTGTCTGGTTGGCTATAGTTATTACAGACATAAGAGAAGAGCGCAGAAACTACGACAGCAGTGGGGAAACGAAGCACAACGCTGCACGCGTTACACGTTATAACAAGGAGTCGCTGTGTTGATTTGCGTGGGGCCGCTTCGTGTGGTGTTGATCGAGTCTGCGTGGTAGTCGCAGGATAGTCTGGATATAATAACACGATTTCTATTATTACGGTCAGAGGCTGGAGGGATAGGAAAAAGCATAATATTAAATGGCCCCTATACTCTGAGCTGTGCGAAGTGGGCTACCTTGGTACAAGAGACCAGTTCGCTTTCGCTAGACAGAATTCAGCTTAAATGATTTACGATTCTTTAGTTGTTCTTCTGAGCGATATGACTTCGGTGAGATTTTCGTGGAAGAATTGTGTAATGAATTGGGTGCAATTTAGTATTAAATAATTATAGTTGCTTGTGATTCGAATTTTTATCGATATTGCATGCTGGGTATCTAGATATTGTAAACTTATCGCTTATTATTTCTTTTGTGGACATTTTGGATGTTTAAATGTAAAGTAGCTAACAAGTTTGTATTTGTGGAGGCAGCGATCAGATTTGAAAGAATGGCAAACGGTATGTCCCATGCATGCCGGATATATAAATTAAGTAAGCTATTTCTGTGGCGGACAAAAAGAAGTTATTATTTTTGTTAGTTGTTTATGACGATCATTGCTGGCATACTGGATATAGGATTTTCTGTGTTTGAATTGATTTTTAGGAAATTGTTATTGACTTTATATTGGCTTGTCGTGGATTTAAAGGTACGATACGTATAACTTTTTTAATTTTTAGTTATTGGGAATGACGAGTTACAACTTCGGATTTTTGTAACTTTTATTACTTTCTTGGAAGCTATTCAGTTTATTCTTATCGTTGAAATTTTTATATACCGGGTTATTCCGGTCAAATGGACCACCTGAAATAGACCGGCCATTTGATTCTTAGCGTAAACTATGTTCAGATGGTACGTTTAGGCTGGATAATCGGGTATACTTTGAATTACAAATTATATAGATATGACTAACATGAGATGAGTTTTCGCTATTGTCGGACACAGAGGAATGTATTTCTATTTGTAATTCAGTAAAGAAAGAGCTGGATGATGTATATGCAGATTGAAATCATTTTTTTGGATTCCGTGAATGTTGAGGAAATATTTTTATTACTGTACAGAGGTAGTAGAGAAGTTGTACAAAGTATAGTTATAGTAGTGCTACATACAGATATTCATTGCAAGGGCTTCATGGAACTAGGATTCATGTAGGTAATATTTTCTGGAAAGTGATCCATGATGATGAAATTCTTTTCGTTAGGTTGAACCAACGTGTCAAGAAAACCAAACCAGTAAATCACTAACCCTGGTCCAAAACGATTCCAGTAACTTGAGAATTGGTCTTTGATATATTTTTTGTGCATATCGGCACTACCGAAACGAGCTTTCGATTCAATCCAATTGATAACAAAGCCATTCACGGCAATTGGTACTTCCAGTTTAACGTCTGGGGTTTTGTCATAGCCCTTTTGTCTTAGATGCTCTTCGTCATGAAAAGCTATATTTCTTTCAGTCAGGTAAGTTTGTAGGAGTGCTTCATATTTTTGACCCACAGAGCTGCACAGATAGGTAATTTTTAGTAATTTGATAATAGAAAAAATGCAAGTGCAACTTACCGTCCAATTGCATCTGCAATGGGTCCATATTGATCATCGAATAATGTACACTGTAAAAAATATTGTTAGTGTAGTAGTATAGTTAGTATTAATATATTTTATTGCACTAATGACTATTACCAAATAAACTTCATATGCAAGATCTTTATCCTCTATGAGAGTGGTATCTTTAAACTGTTTTTTCAATTCTGCTTTTGGAGCTAAAAATATACAATTTCTTGATTTTAATTGAATATGATAGACATAACTTAGTGGTTCAATGAAATTCTTACTATTTGGTTTTGCAATATCATAATGTTTTTCCAAAACATGCCGTGCCAATAATGCTGGAGGGGCTTGCAGCTGTTTTGCTATTCGTATGAGTATTCCCACAGGTTCTCCACGTTTAATAGCCTTGTGATAACTGTGGTTAATAAAAATTGATTACTTATATATAAGAATATAAAAGTATGAATAAGTAAATTCTATTCTATATGGTTGCTCTCAAATGTCCATATCATATAAATTTAATTACACATATTAACTACTCACTTTGTCAAGTAGTTTTTGTTACTCCTGAAAAGTTTACCATGACATATTTTCATTTGTCGCTGTACTTCCGCGGACAATATGCTGTTCAGAGTGTATGGCGAAATACTAAACATAGAGAAAATCATCTTTTATAGCATAAATGTTGTATTCGTGAAGTACTTATTATTTTTTGGTTTTCATGAGACAGTTCAATTTCCAATAACAATATATTGTGAATTCAAGAAGTAAATAAACAGTATAAAAAGTGACGTTAACCTGTTGTATTTTTCTGTTAGCATTCTTTCGCAATCTATTGATAGACCGCGAAATGAACGGATTGTATTCATTATGTCGTTGTACAAATCTTCCTTCATTTTCAATTCACAATAATTTTCAGAAACTGTAATAAACGACACAACCTTTTACAGTAACATGAAGGAATACTGAACATTCGCCATATGTTACGATCACAGTAGAGGTGCGCTCAAGGCAACTCCTCAATCAAATAAAGTTTTACCGACAGTTCTCTGCAGTAGCGACAGAAATCCCTATTGGCGCCATCGAAGTTCGTCCCAAGCATTTGCTCATACTATGCTATCGACAGCGACATTGAGAAGCCATTTATAAATAATGAATAAATGTAAAACTGTAATGAAACAATACTTTATTCCAAGAATAAGCTAAGTAAGGTAATAAATAAGAAATTATCAATTAAAACAATACATTATGTTAGAAATTATCAGTTTCAACAATGACTGTCTAAGCGGCTTCGAAACAGCTTCTATGCTACATTATATCGTATGATAGTATAGGTAAATACTGCAAACTGACATTCTAAATCTTATTACACTAGGTAAAATAAAAGTTTGCCAACTTTGTACATATTTAAAAAAAATATTTGTAAGAGCTCCAATACTATCTTACATTACATTCGCAATTATTAAAAAATCCTTCGCGTACATAATAACGGTATTCGAATCCATCGTCGCAATATTCTATTTTGATTTATTTATCTCGTAACATGATTCTTGATCGATAGTACTGTTAATAACAAAATCATACAGACGGTCTGTTTTATATTTTAAGAAAGCGGTTTACATTTACCGAGCGGATTATTATAAGTTTGAACGTGGGCTTTTAAAGCGACCTTATTGTCCAAAGTTCATTCTATCTTCTATGTTTTAAATAAAAAAATTAAAGTCACCAGTCGCTCCATTTTACTATACTATAGTAAGTATCGATTGATCGGTAATCTTAATACACATTCAAACTCTAACTGTCATTTATAGAAATGACATCAGAAAAGTTACTAGAACAGAATTGTCTCTGCTAACACATTCTTCTTTGAATATACAGCTGTGTGAATAGCAGTGCTATATACAGCTGGTAAGTGTCGATCCAGCAAAGTTCTTCCCTGCTGTTAGAAACTTTGAAACATCAGGCATTATCTTTCTCGAGAAATGTACGGTTTAAGGTACAGATTTCCCACGTATAAGAAGTTCTATATTCTGATATTTCATCGGGAGCGCGAATATCGTGAGGTTCACGCGCGCCGGAAGTGACCGACAGTATTATCGCGGATTTTACAAACAAAAATTTGGTTACAACAAAAATAAATTTAAGTTCGTTCAAATAAGTACGTGTAAATACGATAATACCTCGTCATTACGATCGGTAATTGAATTTATATTAAATCTGAACGTCAGCTGTATACTTTTATCCGGTAATTATAATCCTGCGAAGCATTCATAAAAATGGATGTCCCTCTACATGGCGGGGAGGAATACGATCAATTTATAAAGCCAGTGATGAATACTATGCAAATAATATCAATATGGCCTCTAGCAGCAGACTGTGGATCTTACGAGTATCTCCTCAGAATCTGCCATCAGATTTTAATGTTTTTCGTAACGGGTACTATGTCTATCGTAGTGACAGCTGATGTTATTCACAATTGGGGAAACATGGACACGGCTACCGAATGTTCGCTCATAGCATCTGCCTTCGTTTTGTGCTTTTTACGATTAATGGTCTACACGTATCATCAGAAGGATATGAGATACGTGGTCGAAACAATGAGATCTGATTGGGCAGACGCATCCTACGAGGAAAAACAGGTTCTTAAGGAAAAATGTGATTTCGCCTTTAGGTTGGCAAAATATTTCATTGCTACTGTTGCAATTACTATAGCATTCTTTATGACCGTTCCTATGCTAGAGGTATGCATCTATTTGAACGAACTAATGAAAATTGTTGTTCCTTATCATAATTTTATTTTCCATTGATGTTAGACGTATATTCTTCACTCCGAGGAAAAAATATTACCATTTCGTGGTTACTTCTTTCTTAACCATACTTTGTCTCCGAATTACGAGATGATTTATATTTTTGAAATAATTGCCGGCTCTTTCGGAGGCAGCATGATAGCTGGCGTCACCAGTTTCAATCTCGTAGTAATAATGCATGGAGCAGCGAGGTTCAGTCTTTTACAAAAGAAATTAGAGTCTCTGAATAGGAATGATCCAGACGTCAACAAGCTTATGGTGAAGTGCATTAAGCTACATCAAGATGCTATCAAGTGAGTATATACCTTATGTTAAAGGATTTTATAAATGAATATCACGTAACGTATGGAGTATGCTTGGGGTACAGATTTGCCGACGCTCTCGAGGACATCATAAACGTAGTGGCGCTGGGACAATTTGTCACCAGCACGGGCTTGGTGTGCTTCGCAGGATTTCAGCTGACTTCGGTAAGTGGGTTAGGGGATCTCTGATCTGAGAAATACTGATTCTGATTACTGTATATAGATGCTCGAGGACAGAGGACGACTGATGAAGTACTCAACCTTTTTGAACTCCGCAATCCTCGAGTTGTTCATATTCAGTTTTAGCGGAAACGAGTTGATAGTCGAGGTAGTACCCGAAGAATTTCAAAGTAAATGAGTTCTATCATGTACTTTTTAATATAAAAATAGAGCGAAGCTGTCGGCGATGCTGCCTACCGCAGTGATTGGGCCAGTAGTTCCTTTACTCAGAGTCTGCGAATATTGATGATGCGAGCTACGTTACCTAGCAGAATCACTGCAGCTAAATTCTACAGTATGTCCCTTGAGAGTTTCTCAGCGGTAAGTCACTTAACATTGTGTAACAAAATTTTGGGCAGATCTGCGCTCAACGTAGTGAACTTCTAGAAAGGGGAAGATAACAAATACGTTTCTTTTCTTCTAGGTTCTCAGCACGTCATTCTCGTACTTCACTGTTCTGAAAGCTGTAAGCGAGGAGTAAACATGGTGTAGTTCATGTAAATATATGTATTACCCATCAATGTAATAGGACTAGAAAAATTCACTGTAAATTTCAATGACTGCGTCTCCATTAAGAAGCAGGGATCCTTTGGAGTCCTCGAACGTTTCACATATATAGTCAGTCTGCTTAACCTAAAAATATCCGAGCGCTTCAAAGGGCCGCGTAAAAGTCTCTGGTCCTTCGAGTGGAACAGCGTCTAATTAGATGAACACGACGTCAAGCTACGGATAAGTCATTGAGGGGTTTGGTCTTGCGTTTATACTAACACTGAAGGTGATTGAGTTTAAGATGATAAAAAAAAGTCCAGGTCTAATTATTTCTGTGAGATATATTTTTTATACAGTTGGCATCGATCAACTCTGTATTTACCAAGGGAAGGTAGGATACATCTGAGGAATTATGTCGCAAGACTGGAAAGTATAATTTTTGGTATTTTTGGAATAGAAAGAAGAACGAGCCAAGATTCGGCCAGTCTCCACTAGGAGATTGAGAAAGTATCGTCGTTAAGATGGGCAGTGGATACAAGATCTCGTTTACTATAAATAACTCGGCTAAACAATTGTTTTGAGTAAAAAGTTTGTGCAAACAGGGTCTCGGAGGCCCCACTACGAAGATCCTGAGCTCAGCTGTTCTTAGGGTGGGGTAAGCTATGAGGCGACGGTCTTCGGAGCGACTCGAGGGTATTTTCATCGCAGCAGTACAACACGTGCACTCACCAAGTGCACGCACACGCGATCCATTTTTCCTTTACGTTTGCCGTTCAGATGCATCGATTTTTGGTTGGCTTTGAAAAATAAATGTTTTTTAAATCCTGACTCTGTTTTACGGGCTTGAGAGATTTCGTGCTTTGTTTTGTGATTATCGGTATCGTCGCGATGCCACAATGCAAGTTTGCCGGTTTTGTATACATTTTCTTTTTGATTCTTGCTTCTATCACTTCCTTCATTCCCAACCGGCAGATATGGGAGCACTCAATGTAACATGAGTAAAAAGTAAATGATGTCAATTGTCGTCGACGAGATGACAACATGGCGAACATTAAGGTTGCTGTACGAATCAGACCGATCTCCGAGCGGTAAGTTGGCATTACGAAATGAAAATGAAGGAACAGAGAAATTCCTCGGTTAGCTAACAATAAGTCGGTGTTGGTAACGTTCAAAATTGCTCATCCGTCTTCTTTAGTTCAAAATAGACGACATCCATATCACTGAAGGGGGACGCGAGACAAGTTTAAAGAAATTGTCGTTACTACAAATTCAAGCATTTCTTGGCAAAGATTATTATGTATGCTTCCGTAAGATCCAAGTAACTCATATTACATGATTGATCTGATAATACCTCAAAAGATTGAATTAAGGTTTGCAATGTGAAAGGTTTCAAAATGGCGATTGTTTCGTTGCTGTTTCAAGTCTTACGCAGGCGTGCGGAAATGTAGATGGATTATATGCGAAGGTCAGGGATAATAGACTCGAGGGTTTTACAACCCAGTTCTGGAAATGCTATGTGCTTATGAAGCTTAGTACGAAGACAGACTGTTACAGTATTACAATAAGTTACACAAGACATGCCTCTCGTTGGCATTCAATTATAAACATTAGATCTGCCTTCTTATGATACAGCCAATATTCATGGACAATTCACTGCATGAAAGTTAGCTAATCCGTGAGTGAACATGTTTATTTTCAAGAAATTCCCGGTCATCACAGGTAGCCGTAAACATAGTATACAGTGTATATGCATATACATATACCTATCTAAATACGTATATACATATATTGACGCACGGCGCGTGTTCGCGATACACGTTGGTATATTCACACGCGGTGGCAAGGTCTATATTTAAAAGGAAGGGTGGAAGTAGAACAGGAGCAAAAGGCATAAAGTGAGCCAGTGGCGAGCAGGGTCACCGGAAAACATCACCGGAAATGAGTAAAAGAAGACTCGACTAAAGACGCATAGGTTCCAGGACATCCACGTAATACCACGAGGATGGAATTAAATCACGTTTACACCTGGCAGTTCAATATCACCTCCCAGGAGATTTAATGCTTGCAGAAGAGCACCATGTAATACCTGGTATACCATCCTATAAAAATATTACTACGGTGGTTCCGTGCACTAAGAATCTTTTGATATCTTGTAATAAATGCCAAAGCACAGGTACCGGTACCATTAGGGCGCCGGAGGCATCGAGGGCTCTCTCATCCATCGATCTCTGAGCCGTTTATCCAACAAAGAGGCGCATCTAGCGTGGTAAAAGTCGCCCGGGTAGGAATAGCACAAGCCAGCGATGACACACGACTCGACAGTTTAACGACTCCAACAGGAACATCGCGAGACATCCGCTCTAGAATAACACCCCCAGGGACCGGCAGACGAAAGGACCGACACCGACACGCAACTTCAAATAATAACATCGCGATACGCGACTAGAAGACGCACTCACACGGCGCCCATCTTCATTCAAGCTCCGCGACTGGCTTCTCTGAGGCTTCTGCTTGACGAAAGATCGAGCCTCTGTTTGTAATGTAAACGGACGCGTTCCTTGCGGCGAGCACTGGAAGTGGCTGCACCGGAGACTCGAAACTGATGAGAAAGTTGGGTAGTGTATGTTTTGCATGTAACGTGGAACTGAATTCTTATATGGATTTCAGTGCTACCGTAGGATCGGTTGAATCGAAATGATTTATAGGTTATGCGGAACGACGCCTGCTGGAACGGTTGAATATAATGGATCCGTTTGAGCAATAAACATAGGTGGTATCCAAGGACAATGGTAAAGGGCTTTGTAAATGTATAGGGAATTGGCGAGTGTGTTGTAGTCTGATAAAATCACGCGAGCTAGTCATCTCATGAGCGAAGTGATAGAACAGTGGGGTTAAAGTACTATGTTATGTGTAAGAGATAAATAGATAGACACTGTAGGTGGGTGGAAGAGAGGGAATACTTATTTGGTTTGTCACGCCAAGTGCTACCCTACACGACAGGGTGACCCGAAAAGCTGTTTGGTCGTGATACATGCTCATGGCTGGTACGGATTCTGGAGCACGTGGTATTAGATGTACGGATGATGTTTAGAAATGCTATAATGTTGCTGATGGTGTTGTTAACTCATCAATAACGGCATCACTTCCGGTTCACTTTCGCGAACTCGGACCTTGGCTTTGCGTACTGGCGAACGGAAGTTACGCGAGCGTATACTTGAAATAGCTGAAGAACTTTTTTCTTTACGACTTGAAAACGTGTCTTTGGGAAAATCGAGCAAAGCGTTAAGTCAGCTTAGAATAACATTCTCCATTGCTGCTTGGTGCGAAGGTGGGCAGGATGCGCTGCACGCACAGTTGGTTTCAAATAAATTGTGCCATCCCGGAAGAGCTATTGTAACGCAGTGGATAGAGAGATAGGAATTATTTATTAGGTATTTTATTTATGTGGCTTGCGATATTGTTATTAAAAATTTAGCAGGTCCAGAGGAATTAATTTGAATATTTTTTGTTTGGTAACAATCCAGGGAAATGACTTTGACTGGAGCCGAAGTCGTAGTACACACAGATGTCAATGAGGTCTCACTCACGAATCTTAAGGTGTCCTCGAGTAAGGCTGGTGACAGTCGGGAACGGACGAAGAGATACGGATTCGACTACTGTTTCGATTCGTCTGAACCTGATTCTGAGAAATATGCTACCCAGGAGAAGATTTACGAAACACTTGGGAATTCGGTTCTCGATGCAGTCTTTGCCGGTTACAATTCTTGTCTTGTGGCTTACGGGCAGAGTGCTTCTGGGAAGACCTACAGCATGATGGGGCCAAAGGTGATTTTTTTTTCCTTTCTAGTCGCGATTCTGTTTTATGAGAAATTTTGGACATTTGGATATTCACTGTAAATTAGTGATAAAATATTACATTTCACGGAAGCATTAAATCAATACGGTATCATTAGTGGCTATCTGCGCGGCGTGTGTAAATTCGTTTTTGCATGCATCTGAGTAGCCGGGGTTTAATTAAAAATTATTGTAACAATAAAACTAATAATAAACCGCGGGGAAAATGTACAAACTCTCTAATTAAAGGACTGGTAACGAGGATAGGGCGGAATTGAACGAGCGTTCGGAATGATTTTACTGGGAAATTTAATCAGTAAATTGGGATCGTTTTCTAGGACAGCGTTTAATTAAATCGCTGGATAGCCTAAGTGTAAAATTATGGCAAAGTGTTTTTCAGGCAATTACCTATACAGTTGGTCTCTTCTATTTTCCACTAATTACATATGTTCAAAACGACCGGCAGCTTAATAGCTACTGATAATTCACAGCTAATATTATAATATAACGTAAATAACATTATTGAATTAATCCCAATACAGGACGATCCTGGCCTTACACCTCGACTGTGCGAGGGTCTTTTTAAGCGGATTTTGAATGAAGAAAAAAGTGATAGAACCTATCAAACGTCCATCAGGTAAAGTATGAAATCTCGATATTAATTCCAGTTTTAAATAAAATTTCAAATAAAATGTATACATTCTATTTACACATAAAATTTCATATTCTACTATGTAATTTCAAAAGTCTTTTAATGCGTCGAGTCAGCTTGTCACGTATCTGCATCAAATATTCATCGGTAATACCAATAGCGCAAAGGTACACTTTTCCCTAGGTCGTCGAAGCACCCTGAAGTTGCATCCTGGCAAATTTAATATTTTCCCATTAATCAGTCAGGGAAACAGTGTTTTGACTTACTTGTTGACAAGGCTGAAATTAAATTTTTTATTTTCTCTATTTTCAACACTACGAGTTGCAGCTAGATACAATCAGCTAGATATTGTATGTCTGATTTGATAACTGTGGGAAAGTGAACACTTCGTGAGCAAGGTTATAGGCGTTAATGCGTTCACACAGAATCAGTATATAGGCAGATACGTGTATATATACATGTACCCATATGTATAAGTACATCTAGAAATATTCCTATTCAGGTAAATGGTAGCAATTCTCTCGGTCAAGGTTCGTCTATCGGTCCAATGGGATCTACTATTATTTTGCCGGATCGAGTTTCAAGTTTGCACTCCTTCCGTGCTATTCTTTATTTCGGTAGCGAATCACACAGCGCCCTCCAGGCCCGTCGGACATTTCATGAAATCAATTAGGCGACGATTATTTCCTCTGAATTGTTTTAAATTCGTCCGTCAGCAATAGGAGCGGGAAAATTCATTCGACCTTCGACCTCTTCCTCGAATAAATTCCACCTTCGAGTAATTTCAGGTTTCAAGATTTCACCCTGTTACACCGTGAAACTCACTTTCATCGAAGGGTAAATTTATAAATGGATATCAAGAAATTGATACTAAATGCTTAATTGTCTTTTTTTCTCCTATAAATTGTATGTAAATCCATGAAATTTATCACTGCTGTCATATATCTCCTGTATCGTTTCGCTGTAAAGTATCCATCTATTCACGATGCATTTTCTTCGTAAATACAAAATTCCGTGTTGCCGAGATAAGCTATCTAGTGAAGCGTTGGCTTCGCATGAAGGATGTGGCGACACGAGAATCACCTTAAAGCAGTTACCTGCCTCGTGCTTTTGCGAATCTCGACGCGCAAGAGCTTTCGCGCCATTCGCGAAAAAGCCTTAGGTAAAGATTGGTGGACGTATTCATTACCAGGCTAATAAGTAAAGTCGAAGACTTGGCGTCGTTGTCGCGACGAGGAAGCCATGCGTGGAGGAAGATATTATGTTCGAGCCACTAGGGGCAGCTGAGCGAGAGAGATGGAACCCTGAGCTCACAGGTTGAGTTGTGAGTTTGCGAGGTGGTGAGGTGGCCTCGATGTGTCTAAGCTCAGTGCCTCGTGACTCGCAATCCTAGACGGACGTAAGCACATTGCACCGGGTAAGGATTTAGCCTTGCAGTTATCAGTGCATTGCCCTTATTTATCCATGATACCAGCAGAGTGAACACTGTCGTTTAATCTTGAGAAATCATCTTCTCTTTGCGTAATCTATCTTGCGCGTAACTGCATTCGCTGCGGTATTTCATTTCGCCGGAGACACATCCGGTTTTATTTGATTTCAAGTAAAGTTCAGAGCAGGAGAGAAAAAACCTGAAGGATTGTGACGTTCTTGAGAACTTAGTCTTGGTACATGATTTTTCTCGTGTTTTATGGGTATTCGGGAGACTCGTAAGTATGCCGAAGAAAAACTTGTGGAAACTTTCGTTAAAGGTTATCGATGTCGGAGGGTCGTTGGTTTAAGATGGTTGAAGACTCGAGTGAAGAGACTCTTCGAACGTTGGTAGAAGGAGAGAAAGATGAAGAACAAAATGTATTTCCCTTGTTGAATTGTTTTTGCTCGTTGAAAAAAAAAAAAAAAAGGAAAACAGAATTGACCACTGAAAATCGTCTTCCTGATCTTCAGAGTTTAGCCGGGTTGAATCATGTTGGTTATCGACGTAAAATCGTCAAGTGGGTCAAGCGGGAAAGTTTGTGCATTCTATGCTCGCGATCGAGATCCTCGAGTAAATTAAAAGCAATGAAAAGGGAGGCGATAAAAATACTCGATTCAATGCTAGACGAGTTGTTGCTGGTGGAGACTCGGTCGTATTTCGTGAAGGAGCTAGAAAGAAAAACAAATACAGTGAAACTACAGAGAATGGTTCACGGCAACGAACGATTTCCCGTCTAAGCGATTCAGTGCCAATGATTCCATTAACACGGCGCGTTAATCGAAACCTTTCACGGACCGTAAACTAAAATGATTATCCACTATTTTATAGAGAATGGAATTGCGCTGATTGGTAAGTTAACGAATCTAGCTGAATCCAATCGGCTAGAAATTGTCTCGTATATTTGTACAGCGACATGGGCGACGTAATCTAGAATTAAGAACAATGAAAAAGATAAGTCGTTTACCGACAAGAAGAGGCTCGTGGGTTAAATAAAGGTATACAATTTCACCATATGGAAGAGACTCTGAGTCCGTGCAAATTGACCGTGGTTGTATTGAATAAATGTAGTAAATTAATATTTACGCGAAAGCTAGGGTCATGCTCGTCAGACCAATTATTGAAAGCTGGGAATCGAAATTCCCAAAAAGAAAAAAAAAAGCACCAACCAATAGGTGCGTACATTGCGCCCACGTGTACATGTTGGCAGTTGAACAAAGCTTCATACGTCATTCCTCCACAAAACACCATTGCAGATCCGCTTATACGTACGTACGTCAATTTCAGGTTGTTGGTTTAAAAGGAAGCGATATGATACTGCGTGCACCTAAATCATAAATACGAAAGGAAAAAAAAAAGTGAAAACAAGAAAAAAAAATGCCACCATGAGCTTTTGCATGCGAACCAAAGAGCCCCCAAGGGGGCTATACTGGCTTTGGGATTTCAAAGTAAACCATTGTACGTCAGTTTGTTTTGCTTGAGAGCAACAGAGTAATATGCAAAATTAGTTTAGTATATGGAATGATAGGAAAAATAATTAAATTTCAATTTTCTAGGAATCCGGGGAGCCAACAAAGTTAATTCTTGAATATTTGAGTCGACGGTGCTACCTTACCTGGTGAGGATAATGAGCAATAGGATTATTGGCTCGGCAGCAAACTAATCGCGGGCATAGTTAGGATTAAATCGCGTGATCAGTACAAGGGGTTAGGTCAAACGAGATGACGCGAAAATATATCGTACATAATATAATGTAATGGCGCATCGTTACGCGTTGCAGCATTGTTCATTTACGCGCGATGAGTCTTTCAATTTGAGCGTATAGACAAATGCGTATGAATAAACGGAAGCTCTCATTGTCGGATCTTGACTAACTTGTAGCTTCTCTTGGGTTACTGTATTTATCTAACTTCGAGAAGGTTTGCTGAACAAGATGCAATTAATGACAGCGGTGGGTACAAACGATACTGATGAGATCAGCCACCCAGGGTGGTCCCTATCACGTGGCACAAGGATAGTGATGAAGACGTGCGTGTTCCACAGGGTGGTACGGTGTCCGTGGACAGCTGGATGTTATTGCCATCTATAAAAAGACAAACCCTTCTGTTCTAGCTTTGTCTCCTGAGATATATAAGATTTCATAGCCTCGTACGAACTGATACTACAGCCTGGACATATCTTGCGAGCAAGCAGACAGACGTAGATTTCCAATAAATAAAATTTAATTGGGTAAACTACTAGTGCCAGGTCAATTGCGAATTCCGTGGTGGAACGGTGGACGTGGTTGAGAATTGCGAGGAACGAAGTGGTAAAAAGGATTGATGAACAAGGTTGGAATGGTTGAAATAATGGGAGAAAAAGGTTTGGAGTGGTGGGGTGCTTTGTTTCCGTGGAGAAGAGGTATCCGACGGAATTGAAACGTGGTTGGGTATAGGGGTAGAGGATGGTGAGGGTGAGTAGGGGGATGGCCGATGGTTGTCTAAGCATGGAAAGTAAATGCTGAGAGCAAATAAAAATAAAAATAAGGCAAATAGAATTAGCGGTGAACGTTTCGCCGCGGTTCGTTCAATAGGAAAAAGAAAGTCTCGAATGAATTTCCGGTAGCATTGGCACGGAAGCTTTCCGGTGGTTACGGATGAAGGCGCTCGGGCGGAATGTCTCCAGAATAAAGCCAATCGAATCCTCTCTTCTTGAGATTCTCTTCTCGCTACTCTTAGAGCCTCTAACGAGACCCGATAAGGAGACTTCTTTGCTCACCTTCATTCTCTATTTTCAACTAGTCATCTTCTGAGCTTCCTTAAGAACGCAAGTTCAGGATGACATTGCTTGTTCCAATATTATCGAATGTTCCTTGGAGCAGGGACGCTTTGATTGTTCAGTGCCTGAAGGAGGATATTTGGCACGTGGATCAATCATAGAATTCACTGTAAAATCTTGATCGCTTGGCGACCTAGCTAAACTTATGTCTAACTCCGCTCGGCACTTGTATGTTCCAATGTTGTACTTTACGTTCCTATCTACGTGCTGTACATGACTTCGTGATTGTTCTTCCATCCTGGACACGTGGTATAACTTTCTTACTCGTGTAACTCGATTCTTCTGGATGTTCCTGTCGAGGGGGATGATTCTTCGAAGATCCGTTGAAAATCCCAATTAATTGCTTCTTGATTACACAACGTCTTTGAGAACAGAACGATAAGAGGAAAAATTTTGTGTCTAGACTTACATGTTTTTATATTTAATGATCATTGTGTAGAAAGGATACATGTTTTTATAGGACAGTAGTAACTAGTAAACGCAGATATATAATTTGGTGAATTATTGACTAATAACCAGTAATGGTTGGTCTGAATACAGATTTTGGATATGGATTGAATATGTTGTATTCAGGACTGCCTAATGATAGAGTAGTGATCGAAAATACGAGTTTGAATTAAAGCTCATCGGGTCTATCGATCAATCAGCCACAAGTAATGCAGAGATTTTGATGGGTTCACGTTGTATACCAAGGGAAAGAGTTGTTTGGCATGCTATCCCCAGGATTGGGGCTTAATTACATTAAACGCCACCATCACCGTTATTACTCGAATCAGTCTTTACGCTGTATAGCTTCTGCTACATTGAATTTTATGGATAATCACATATTTTTAAAATGATTGTATCATCATCCCTGACGGTGGAGCCAGGGGTCGTATCCGGTAAAAAAAATTCGAACATATCTCATTCACCTGGCGACGTTTGACGTGTCAGGTGACAACGTAATTGTCTGTCACGTCGACACGTGATGTTCTATCTAGAACAGGCGTTCGTTTTAATCTGAATATCGTGACGGTCGTCGGGAAGTTGTCGAAGCGCTTTGCGCCTCGGAACTATAAGGTAAACGCTCTCGGAGTAGATGAGAGTTAATGCGGGTCAGTTAACTCGCTATATTTAGGATTTAGTTCGTGTTTAACTTGAATGGCGAAACTGCACCGGCGCGTTTTATTCGCATAGGAATTGGCGCCGTGTATGGGCAGATTCTTTCCCGAGGGCAGCCGAATCGATTCTTATTCGCGTGGTTACCGTGTAATATCCGAGAGGCACGAACTAGGTGTTAGGTATAGATGCCTATATGGGTATGCGTTGGAAGAAGCTAGACACTAGGGGTTTCTCCGTGGTTGCTCAGGACCTCGTTCTAGGTGGATAGGGGTGGTTTGCAAGCTACTCGAAAAGTTCAAAGCTTCTAATAAATGAGGTTTGTTCCTGTAAAATTGGTACGATTGAAAGGACTTCGAGGACAACGCCGATGGGCTTCTCGTTCCTTGTAAAAATCATTAATTAACGTTAATTAACGTAGCGTATGAAAGTTTCGTTGGGTTGATGCGAATTCACCTCTGGCCTTCCCGGCACATCTTCCACTAACTATACTTTACATTCATTTTCTCTTTGTATCCTCACCCTCTCGTTCTCCCTCTCCTTGTTTGGCACGTAACCACCCGGTTGTCAGAGAATATAATAATCGAGGTTCATCCTCTTAATTGCAATTATGCTGCTTACATTGAGCTGTTCCTTCTTGTTCCTTGCCTGGCCAGCTATTTCTCTTGTTCTAGAAGGTTAACGGCGGGCTCTATTAACGCTCGGTCTTTTCGTTAGGTTTACTCGAGGCTCGAGGAGCTTAACGTTTTACCTTATTACTTGTATTTGCATTTCTTGCGCAATTTCCCGACTTTAACGAGATACCGTCGCGAATTGCGAATCCTTGACACGGTCGCGCCACACTTCACGATACTCGAGAGGATCCTGAGAATTTCATTGTTAGGACGGTACCATTTTTCATTTGAGTACGAGACTGTAACGATAGTTGGGTGCTCGTTCGATTCTCTAATTTCCGGTACGCAGTTCACACAGCCCTGTTTTCCAAGGCTGAGTACCAATGCGGTTCCATTTTCTGGTAAAGCTATCACGCTATACGTATTTCTCTTTTACACGAGTATCTAGGTAGATATTATCCGTAGATCAGTTGGCTTAGAAGCCGGTAAAGTGTGCGGATAAGCTGGAAACTTTACTCCACTCTCGACCTGGATAACATGATGGCACGTGGCGATGAAATCGTGTTGATGATGTCCGTCGTCACTTCTTTACATCTCATGTAGCGCTTTGCCATTGGGTTCTTCTCACGTAGACGGTTACGGGAGATAATCTAGTCTGAAGATTCCATTGGTCTGTGTATCTCACTTTATTCCTCTTTGCTGTCAGCTACCTGGAAATCTATAACGAGCGCGTACGGGATCTTCTTAAACCCTCCTCGAGTTCCAGTGGACTCCGAGTCAGAGAGCATCCTCGACTGGGACCTTACGTCCAGGGTAAGCAGGAAATTCATTTGCGATTAATTAAATTCTGATAACGTGATAACGTGAGATATTTCCTTTTATCAGGGCTGACACGTCACGCTGTTCGCACCCTGGGGTCGTTGATGTCATACGTGGAGGAGGGGAGCAAGGCCAGGAAGACAGCCTCGACTTTGCAGAATCCTAGCAGCAGTCGTAGCCACGCACTCTTGACGGTATCCCTGTCCCCGGAAGGTGATAACGGCCATCCTTCTAATCCAACCGAGAAGCGGAATATTCCTCGGGGTAGTAAACTCCACTTGGTCGACCTGGCGGGCAGCGAGAGTGCTGCCACCTGCAGTGGAATTCATCGACTGAAGGTGAGTCATCTGCCTAAAAATACTTGGAACCTGCACAATCAAAATCACATATGAAAATGGATGAAGCTCTTCTCCGAGTGGTATGAACTTCTGGTATCTGCTTACATCCTGGACCCGGTCTAATGCGATTACTGAGTCTAAGGATTACGTTGATTATGGTTTGCAGGAGGGTGCAAATATAAACAAGAGCTTGGTCGCACTTGGTAACGTCATATCTGCTCTTGCGGAAAGGGGCGCCACCGGAAGTGGACCTGGCAGGAGATTCATCCCTTACAGGGACTCGGCTCTCACGTGGCTACTAAAGGACGCACTTGGTGGAAATGCGACGACCATCATGCTCGCCAGTAAGCATTTCTCTCTTCCATTAGATCTGGATTAATCCAAGCTTGATAACTTATCTTATTTGTAATATTTTCCTGACTTCTTTCTTTTTCCTTTATTAATTCTGAAAGTCGGATAAGTAGCGGACAGTCGCAAGAAATTATTTGCCTCTGTAACTCATGATATCATCCGGCAATGAAATTATACTTGGAGCTTGAACATAATTGGTTTAAATAATTTTCCAGAGCAGCTAAGATCCATCGATTAAAATTCGATTAAACGCCGAGAGCGTAGGACTGGTAAATAGCAAACATGTATAGTTGAGCTTATCGTAATAGTTGATGGAGAACGATTCGTTCGGTTGGTAGTATTGATCCTCGAAGTTGAACCGCAATGTTCCGACGTTAAATCTTAGTGGAAAATTCACTATTCGCCCTGAACTCACACGAAACTTTCTTTCGTCCTTTAGGGAATAACTCGTAGAATGTCTGTAACCGGAAAAAGATCGATACGTAGTGCGTTTTCTCTTGTTCAACAACGTTTTAAATGTACCTCCTCAATTTCTTAATCGATGACTTTAGTTAAAGTATGTACTTCATTTCTTGGCGATGGTGACAGAGTTTGTGCAGGGGTCTGGGGTTTCCGGGAAAAATACATTATGAATATATAATACTCTGTCTGGTTTTCTGTCCATTTGATGATACTCGCATTAACCGCAGACATTAATGATTTGTTTGATGCATCGGTAGATAATTTAATTACTAGTGACATTCCAATTTATTAGGCTGAAGGGCTTCTACTGTCCAACTTGTTGTATTTGAATTGTGATTACTGCCATTAGAATTTATCAATTACAACATAAAATTATGCGTGGTGATTTAGTAGTTTCTTGTTCGCCTAATTAGATATGAGAGAAAACGTTTTAACGTATCGTCTGTTTTCTTTCTTTTTTTTTAAACGACGTCACAGACATGCTGATTATGTTAAGTATATGTATTCTAGTTCACTGTTGAGTTCGAATAGGGTGGTAGCTTGTTCTCATGTACGTGATCTTGATAGGATTATTTGGTTAGAGTAATTGCACATAAATGAATCTATTGGTAATTAGAACTAGCTAATTGGCACATGGTATAATTGTAATACGTATCTTCGTAGATGAATACTCTGGGTTTCTAGAATCCAGGGCGAACAGGTTTCCCATTGGTGAAACCTTTGAGAATATCGAAAGTGATCTTAATTGGTTCGATCGTTATCGATTTCAGCTATATCACCGGCCAGTGGTAGCTACAACGAGACAGCGCATACTCTGCGATTTGCTCAGAGGGCACAGAGCGTGGTTAACAGGCCAGTGGTCAACGAAGATCCCGTGGCACGAATTATTCGTGAGCTAAGGGCGGAAGTTGCCAGATTGAAGTCCCTACTATCCGAGAAGGCAAGTGACGTCTTGTTCCTGGTATCAGTTTTATGAATATTTAAGTCAAAGACTTCGCTCATTAGTACTAGCAAATTGGTGATCGAGACTTGCTATTGTATTTTGCAGAGTGTTGAGACTGCTGATAGAACCATCTGTTGCTGTAAAACAAGCAGAGAAGAGGATAAAGGTCCACAGGGTTTAGAAGAAACTCAAGCGTCCTATGAGGAGGAAGCTGAAGAGGATCGGAAGGAGAATCAGAAGGATAATTCGATTTTGGAGAAGATCGGGAATTTCTGGAATATAACGAATTATCCTATTAGAAAGTACAATTCCAATGAATCATTGATAGCGAGGGATGACATCACATCGACGCCTCTTAGGCGATATGGATCTCTAGATGTGTTGGGATCTGAAAGGGGATTTAGGAATCACGATTACAATCGCGCTAGTATATCGGAAATCATCAGTCACGAGGTTAACGAATCGGTTTTCGTTGATATACCAACACTGGTGGCGGTTTTGATTAAACCGGATGACAGTTTGCAAGATCAATCGACGCAAATCGAGGAAATTTATAGCGACGGTGTCCCGGATCATTCGGTTGACGTGGATCTTCTAGATCAAGCTAATTTGGACGAAGTTCCTAGCAGTGACCTATACTTGGTTCATACTGGAAAACCAGAGGAAAGTGACAATATAGAAAATTTAACAGATTCTACAAAATCAAAATTCGAAAATATCAGTAACGATACCATTCATAACGATTTGTCAGCATCTGACTTTTATACGAGTGAAAGTACCAAGATAAAATTGAAAAAGCAAGATTCTATTGATATCGCACTCCCAGCTCGAAAATCGACAAATTTACATACCTCGAAGAAATTCGGCTCTGTTGAGGGACTACAAAAGAAACCTTTACCTTATAACTTGCTACAAAGGTCTCACACGAGTTTAGAAAAACGTCCAGCAAATTCTGATAAGATCAAAAAATTGAATAACATCAAAGAAGTTGAAGATCAAAAGTCAGCTAAACTTGGAAGTGTCGTACGTACCATAGGATCCTCTTTTGGTAAGGATCTTCAGAGAAAAGTTAGTAACGACTCTGATAAGAATTGCAAGTATAACAGTACAACGCAAAAAGCGAAAAATTTGGTGAGGAAACAAAGTTCAGACAGTCTCAAACGAAAAACAAGTAAAGATAGTAGTTCCAGCAGTTCTAAGGAGGATCAAATTATCATTTCCAATCTAGCTAGAGATAGACTTCGTAGAAAAGGATCTCTTGATCAAGAGACTTCAATCCGTACTCACACACCAATCCAACGATCCAATCGCAGAGCGGAAATCGTTGCTGCTGTAACGCAGAGGCTTTACTCCAGTAAGAAGAACTCTGAAGAAATCACGGCGACCGCAACAGGATCCGAGTTCCGCTCCCCGGAGAGTTCGGATGTCAAAATGGCATCGACTACGAGGATGCGACTTCAAGAGATCTCCAGGAAGATGCTGGCAAAACGTCGGAGAATCTGCGTAGATACGCAGACTGATAATGTAGCGACAGTCCGCGTGAAGGATTCTGCTTCGTTGACCGATGACGTGCGGATTTCCTGTAAGGACATTGGTATCCTGACAGATTTCCATGAAGATTGTGAGAGCGTATCTAGCAGTCCAAGTCCAGTTCTCCGCGTTAAAGAAATGGCGACTTTGACCGAGAGAGATAAAAGATCTACAACTCGTTGTAAGGACATTGCTACTCTCACTGATGATTATGAGGAGGATTTTGGTATGCATTCCTCTCGTAATGATTCTGGAATTTTATCTGACGACGCGATGAACTACGCCGAGAGTAATTTTTCTTGTGGTGAAACGTCGGATCTTTGCGCTGATGCAAAAAGTCGCTGCTGTACGCGGAACGTCGAATTCACAGAGAATTCCACGAACACGCTTGAGACCCCTGAAACTCCTGGTGTGTCTGTTCAGACTGGAATAGAGATAGAAGAAAAGAGGATCATTAGTAAGAATTGTACAAGTCAATGTTGCCACAAGGTTCGAGAATGCTGTGGTGTACCCATTATTCGTAACGTTGAAAAAAATGTAATATCCATATCATTACCAATTGATAAGATTAGTATAACCATTGAGTCACCTAATACATTCGAGTCAAAGATCGCTATTGTTGAGGATTCCGCGACTACAGAAAAGATGAAGCCTGGTTTAAAGGATTCCGAAGTACAGACTGAATTGAAGAAGGCCTTGGAGAAATCTACCTATACGGAAGAATTTAATAATACTATATTCTTTAATGACATTTCCATATCCAGTAAACCAAGTCAAGGCGATGGTAAGACCTTCAGAATTGAAAACATCTTTCAGGATCCCAGAAGTTCCGGTAAGAGCTGCCCCAGGATTGAGATCCTGCCGGATCTTACAGATAACGTGTCTCTGAAAAATTCTCTCATCCTTACTAACTCCGTGGGCACGTCCTTCGTCCCGGAGACGAGGGAGAGCAGTACGGAAATGGAAAGGGAGAATAATCGCGAGGATAGATTTCTGAGTTTTTTCAGGACTCCTCGAAGAAGGTCCTTGATGAATGAGCGATTAAATCACAATGCTCGCTGTGCCAAGAGACGTAGTTTAAGTCTAAGTCCTAGACGAGCTGCTTGTACTCCTGGAAAATGTAATTATATTCTCCCCGACTCCTTATCCATACAGAATCCTGTCAAAGGAATACAGCTGACAACCTGTGGCGCAAAATTCGACATGGACTCAGTGTTGAGACAGGACTCGAATTGTTCGATGTCTGCGAATGATAAACTCACCCCTTTTGAAAATCCCGGGACAATTAACTCATTGAAACCACTGGAGCAGCCTCAGTGCGCGAACATAAATTCAACGGATGGTACCCTGAAGGAAGGTAAACTTGCCCAGAAGGTTGTTGAGGACGGCGTCTATTCAAAAACCAAGGCCGACATCGCAGGATTGAAGTCGCCTGTCTTAGTCGCAAGGATGGGTGAAAGTAGTCACGATGCCGACCCCAACTTTTCCGACGACAGCTTAGATTTAAACGAGTCGAGTGTCGGGAATAATAACAGGGAAATGAAGTCGGAAGGAGGCGATGGCGCTGAAGGAAATGAGAACTTTTGCCCGCCGGACGTCGTCGCGCATACCAAAAAGGAGAGCCCCAGGTGTTCTAGTCAGACGGAAGAAATCGAACCGTCAAACGCGGCTCAAGACTTTGAGGACAACACTGTAGACTTTCCTAGGACGAAACCATCTCTTCTGAAGGATAATCAGATACACGACTACAAATCTCTGATTCTTGGCAATGGCTACCTTGTCACTGCTGACACTGAACTTGCAGATGCTCATGGAGGCACTGGTTCTGAAAATAAAAACAGTTGTTGCACAGCTAAGAAGAAGGTATCCTTCTCAAGTTCCGAACTTGTCAAGGACGAATCTCCGCAGTCTACTTCAAAGTACTCGAGTCCCGGGCCTAAATCGATAATCAAGAAGAAGAGTGATAATCGGGATGCTTCGAAAGTTCCTAGGGAGAGTTCTCTTAGGAAATTTTTGTCCCCGTTAAAAAAGCAAGAAATGAAAATCTCTAAAGTTCCAGAATATTCCATACCTCATGAAAAATCCATGGAGATGGTATGTAGTTCAGACCCGGCGGAGTCCGATCATCCTGTTAGGAATAATCGAGAGTCGGAATGTAAAAAGGTGAGATTCTCGACAAGTGAACTTTTCGAGGAAACAGCCAGTGACTCCGACAGTTATGGGGATGTTGTCAGCGACGAGGAGACCAGCAACAAGGAAGCTCAGATATTCGCGGAATACCTGGACGAGGCTGTAGCCTTTATGCGCAACTTGAACTCTATGAATGAGTACATGAGTGCCAGTAATATCTTCGGCAAGTTCCTCGGGCATGGAGAGTACAAATGCTGCGATTCGAATGACCTGGATGATTACGTGATCTATAAAGGTCGCAAGGTAAGCCTTAGGGATGATACCGACGAGTTCCTCAAGGACGAGGACTTTGAGATTCCCACCGAGTCCTATGAAAATTGTCTGAGAGGCATTGAGCGACTGGAAAGTTGTATTGAAAGAACTGAGCGACACGATAAGCTACTTCATGAGAAGTATGGTATCAAGATCGAATCTTCTGATACTAAATCTGGTTTAGTAGAATCTAGTACAGATTCGACGGGCCCGAGCCTTGGTAGGTCCTCGACCACTAGAAACTTGGACTTGCCGATCACTCGAGAATCAAAGCCTTTTAATATGGAGGAGTCAGATTGCAACGATAAGTATAACTATATATTGGACAATGAATCTCGCATTAATAATAATTTTAATAAAAATTTAGATGATTTGGAAGAGAGGATATTCAATCATTTAATGGATGCTGCAAATCCTGATCGATGTAACACAGCAACGAAACCACGATTGCATCGTAGTTCTAAAGTGTCTTATACAAAATCAAAAAGTCCAGCATCCTATTCAAAAATTCGTAAAAAATATGGCAACGGATCTCGTGAGCCTTTGGTCAAAAAAGGTTCTTCCTCGTCGTATACGAGGGAGCAGAGTCCTAGATTGTACAGTGATTTTACGATAGGCGAATCAAAGGATCTCGTGACGCCTGAATGTTTTTTATTTATGCCGCCGTCTATGAATAACGATCGATCATCTAGAAGGACAGGGAATCAGAAGGTCCTACCTAAAATGGAATCATCCTATGATGCATGCAGTTCAAGCGAGAATATTGCAGCCAGCACAGAATCCATCGATACTGCGTCAGGCTCGACCAAAGAGAAATTAAAGTATCCCGGAAGTCCTAGAGCAAAGTTTTTGCAACTATTAAGCGAAAGACGAAGGATCGTTCAGGATAGTAGGACTTCTGATACCTATTGAAAACTATGATAAATCGTGTGTCCATTTCAAAGTCACGGGGAATCAATAATCATTATTCTCGATTTTTTATTTGCTTCAACTAAAAAACAGACTGTAACGGAGATAACTATGAGGATTCAAGTGATTACATGCGAGGAATCTCTCGAAAATGTACGAATCGTGTTAAATGATTATGAAATACATTGTATATAGGATAAAAATGATTGTAGCTGATTTTATAATAATTTAACAGATAATACGTATAAATTGCCTTCCTTCGTAATAATCATACTTGTTCTATCTTGGCTTGCATACTGTGTAACCCGTGTGTTTTCTGATATTAAACAAAGGAATTCCTAAGTCATTTTCTTAATATTATTTAATTCATTTAAAATCCTCAGGAATACAGATTTTACATTAGGTTAGTTGTTTGCGAATCGTTATAATGAAAACAAATTGTATAAATTAAAAAATATTCTCCCTTACCTAAAAGAATTAATGAAATTTGAAACATTATCGAGAACTAGAACATTCTACTAGTTAACAAGTTAACAAGTTTCTTAATGTCTTCTACAGTTTTTGACTTGGAGCTTTATTATAAATGCAAAAGCGATGCTATAGGAAAAATACGAGACCTGTGTAGAGTCGAAAAATCGACTTTCCGTCTTTTAGGTGGTGAAGTTCACCAGTGATAAATTAGCTAGCTACCGCAAAATTCTCAGTAGTTAACAATTTGAGAACCACATTAGTTTTCAGTAGATCAATACTGAACAAAAAAATGTTCTCTAAATATTACAAAAAATATAAATGATTTATGTGTTTTTGACAATAATTATATGAATATTATTTATAATTTTTTTAAATTGTTTTAATCGGCACCTGTGTAACTCACGATCAGTACACAACATTTATCTTTCATTGAGGCTGGAACCTGTGATTGTAGGCATGCACAAAATTCAGTTCAATTTATAAATGTTACTTCAATTAAGAATTATAAAAAATTTTTAAATATATGAAAACATAAAATAAAAAGAAAAGGATTTAATACGATAAGTTGAATATAATTTTTAATGATGCAGAATGTGTTTGCATAAAATTTAGAGAGTTAACAAATTTGTGTTCAATATCATTATATTTGTATTTTGTTCCATATGCACAGCAAAAATAGTTCAATATTTGCTTTTTATTTATTTTTTTTTCATACTGTGGTGCCAGTAGTGACTACTGGCTCCCTGGTAGTGTTTTTTAGTGAGGGTATTTTTAGGAGTAAAAAAATCATTAATCACCGTAATTGAACTAATAACAAAATGACAACATAGACCAATGTATAATTAATGGACAAAGTGTATTTTCTCAGTGCAAGTTCTACATTCAGCAGCTGCATAGGTCCCAGGTGCAGCACTACGCAGGTGTCGTGGGTGTGAATGTGGGTAATTTCTCTAGCGCGAGCGATCTGAATATTCGTAGAAAAGTCGATTATTTGCACGTCGGAACAACGACCGATGTGGCGGCTATTAAACTATCGACAGAACCATCAGAATTGTAAGTGTTCCCTCCGGGATATTGGTAATCTTATAGGTCACCGCAGTAAAGTGCATTAATCGTTTGCTACTAACTGGTCATTCCCATTCTGAGAATCCCGTTGTGTACGAGCCTTAATGCAATCTCGCAAAACGTTTTTACATATACGCTCATGCATGCACCTGTGCATATGCAAATAAATGCCATTACGCTTGTGTCAGCGTTCTCCAGCAAATACAAAGAAGAGCAGTCAGCCTGTGCATTTTTATGCACCTGCTAATGCATCTCTATGCACTCAAATGAAAATGTGACCCCGGATAGGTCGTGGTATTCTTTTTTATCAACGTACATATATTACGGAAAATCATCCAACTCGTGGCCGGGTCTGACCTGGTTTTGCCAATTGTGAATTCAATCTGGTGTCAATCGATTGGCTGATCTGGAAAAAAACGTACCAGCAGGCATCAACGACCCTTTTCTTGCAGTTGCTGTATTTCCAGCATAAATGCCTTTTTGCTTCTCGAGTAAATTAAAAAGAAATATAAATTATTAATAATTGTATAAATCATTCGCGAGGTATTCAATTGCTTATGCCATGGTAAGAATTTTATTCGAGAACGATTTAAAAACAGAAACTAATTAAACATGCGTTCTCCATGAATTTGAATTCTTTGCCTAAATTAATGAGATGCTAGAGACTTTTGAGCATGAGGTATCTGAACAGAGGATTGATAATGCTCATTTGATTGGATATAATCAGCTTTGTGGTCCATGATCACTTGCAGACTCCATTGCACTTAATTAGGGACGCTATTGGCTGTAACGTTATCACCAGATTCCTTAATCGGAATCTAAATCTGCATTTTCGAAAACTGCTAATCAATTCAATTCAATGGTAGACTAAACATCATTATCAGTAACGGTCTTATGGTATATTCAAGTTCGATAAGATTTACGCACTTCTTAAATATAAAATAATAAACAGAGTACGTAATGAGCGAAGTAAATATTATCGTACGCGCTATACAGAGTAACGTCGTGATGCTTACGCAAGATAATTTCTAACAAGCAACCAGAATTAACATGGGAACGTACTTTATATATATAATATATGTGTATCTCCTTCTACTTACAGGGTAGAACATCTGAGGCAGATAAGGTAGAAGCTGGGCTGAGATTTACGGGAATGAGATTAGGGCTAAATCCAGGGGGACAGATATGACGCGTACTTCCTCTTCGTGCTGTCCAAAATTAATAACCATTAATATACAGGCTATTGTTTCCGACGGCATGGTTTTCAAGCGGGTTGTGCAGGTTCGAAAGGGACATAGATTTAGGAATATTAAACGCACGTAAATTTGGCCTTGCTATCTTTTATATCCGTTCGGCAGTCTTGTCTGAATATAAAGAAAGACATTACAATCTGTTGAATTTATCTTGCGAGGTTATCATGGAATTCATGTAGGGAATTTCATTTATGGAGGAGCAGTCATTCACTGGGACACGCTATATGAATTGAATCAACGGCGCTCTGGACAATAAGACAAATCGTGATCTCTGACACATATTATGTAAGTCTCTGTGAAAATCTTCATTTGTTCCTCTTTAACATTTTTCAAACGATACCATTGCAAATTTAGTTCACGGTTATTACTTGCAGGTAAATCGTTATGTGTCTTTCCGACGGTATGGCAATCTATGAGGGTTCGATTGGTTGACATTTTTATTGAACGGTTTTTCGCTAGTCTCGGTTAGTGGTCGTTTCCATTTGCAAAGCCCGTATATAGCATTTTCATAAAATAGCATATTATCGGATACAGGCGGTTATTCACGAAGCGCAACGAATTATTGCGTTTCAGATTGCGATTCCGTAGATGAGGAATGTCACTCCTTGCTGTCAGCATATGTTTGCATATTTTTTGCATAATATTAAATGAAATATAAGTATACGAAATTGCGTAATATTATATTAAAAACGATTCAGTATGAAATATTTTTATTTCATAATATTCTTAAACCAGTAGCAATATGAGATATCTTGAATACACGTGACGAGTACAGAGGTCATGAGATTAGTCGGATACATTAATTATTGACTCATAACGTAACAGCTTAGTTCACCACTGGAAGTTCACTGACAAGTGAAAAGTGTTGATAACAGTTTTCAATAGTTTGCAGTGTCGTTCCAATAGTATAATTTTGCCTCTCAACATGAAGGATTTGAATAAAAAACCAAGTTTTCAGGAATTTCCGGACTTGCATAAGACGACCATGGAAACGACAAACGTTCCTGTTCAAACACAAGTAATTATTTATCTGAATAATAACGTAGAACGAATATAAACGTTCATAAAATTTGTCACTAATTTGTAAATTTTATTATAAATACAATACTTTATTTTCACATCTTTATCAACAGGACAATATGATTCCAGTGGATCCTTTCTGCAAGGAAGATAATCCGAATAAAATAACATTCGAGGATATTACGTTAGCTGCATTTAAAATAAAATCTGGTATCGTTAACACAGCATGCACGGTAAGTGTGTTCCAAGTATTGTAAAAATTGGATACTCTATACTGATAATAATAATGATAACAGTGGTTATTATTAACCTCAACAGCGCTCACAAATGTCGCACGCGACCGGAATGGAGCTCTATCTAAAGAAAGACTTCCTCCAAAAGACAGGAAGTTTCAAAGAGCGTGGAGCCAGGTACGCCCTGTTGATGCTCACGGAAGATCAGAAGCGAGTCGGAGTGATTTCCGCATCCCTGGGCAATCACGCTTTGGCATTGTGCTATCACGGATCGAAGCTCGGAATTCCGGTGACAGTGGTGATGCCGGTGTTCGCTCCGATAATGAAAATCACTGCCTGTAGACAATACGGAGCCAATGTGGTCGTCGAAGGTTTAGATATGGGAGAGGCGAAACGTATTGCCCTGAAACAAGGACAAGAGAAGGGTCTTACATATATAAACGGGTAGGTACAATAAAATTTAAAAAAATATACAATATGTATGTTTTAGATAAAAAAAAAGTATTCTATTACCGTGGAAAATGCATGTGCTCTTAGAGTACAATTTTCGAAAGTATTAGTGGATAAGTTTTGAAAATTTATTTTCTTTCACTAGATATGACCATCCTCACATAATGGCTGGTCAAGGTACGTTGGGCTTGGAAATAGTCGAACAGGTAAAGGATGTTGATGCTGTTGTTGTACCTGTGGGGGGCGGAGGATTGATCGCTGGGGTTGCTTTGGCTGTTAAAACTTTGCAACCTCATGTGCAAATTATAGTGAGTTAAAAATACTTAATATGGACAGTTTGTATGGTTTCCTTGATTGCCCTGGTATTTATTTAGGGCGTGGAGTCTGAGAGATGCCCAAGTTTTACAGCAGCCAGAGCTGCCGGTCATCCTGTTCCTACGGATATACATTCAACATTGGCCGATGGTTTGGCTGTGCCTATGGTAGGATACAACGCTTTTGCTACGGCCAATTCGCTTATTGACAAAATGGTGGTGGTCAAAGAAGAATGGATTGCCGTATCGATTTTGAAATTAGTAGAACATGAAAAATACATTGTCGAAGGTGCCGGTGCTACAGGACTGGCAGCTATTCTTGCTGGTCAACTTGATGATCTTAAAGGAAAGAGGTTAGGAGACAATTTATTTAGTTGTATTTATAATTTACTCAATTATTTCTTACGGTCAATCTCTTGTGATTTTTAGGGTCGTCTTACTTCTTTGCGGTGGTAATATCGACACTACCATATTGGGTAGATGTTTAGAAAGAGGCCTTGTTGCTGAGGGACGTCTACTCAAATTCACTGTTACCATATCCGACAGACCTGGTGGTATATCGGAACTCTGCAGGATGTTGGCAAGCATTGGTGTTTCGATAAAGGATATCATGCACGAACGAGCTTGGATCATATCTGACGTATTCAGTGTCGATATTAAAGTCGTCTGTGAGACACGCGATAGCGAACATTCGGAGCAGCTGAAGGAGATGCTACATCAAAATTATAGAAACGTGACTTTTGGTGGGGTAACACTCGAACCAATGATGAAGTTACGCTCATTGAATAATTGACATAAAATTTCATTCTAAATATAAACTAGCTACTTAACGGGCACATTAAACTAAATCCTACGTACACGTTATGCGTAAATTAGTATTGAAGAAATATGGAAACCTATAAATTGTTCAAGATAAAATAAAAAATTGATATTTTTAGTAATTTCAATTAATTTCGTGAATGAATGATAATTTGTGAAAATTAAGAGGCAAAAGGTGATATGGTATTAGGAAGTGGAAGTAGGGTATCAGAATAGTCGATGATACGAAGATTCGTGCTTAATAAGCTGATCCTGAAGCACGATAAGTAGTAATGGATGTCAGGTTCGCTCCTGGTCGAAGCATTGAATTAAATGGGGTGCCTAGCAGTTACATTTCCTGGAAAGTGGCCCGCCGGCTACGCAAACCCTTAACGATTTCAGTCACGTAGACCTTCACGCCCTTCTCATCCACGTTTCGAGCATCCCTTTCGCCATCGTACTTCACCTCGCGCTATACGCTACATTTAACTTCGGTACATAATCCCATCGCACTATTGCGAGAAACGTAAGTACGTTGTCGCCAGCGTACGAACGAGCACTGTAACTTTTACCGATGGATCATCCGTGCTGAGTTTGACGATGATACAATTTTTCATAGAAACTTCCTTATAGGACTTTAAAGTAATAATTACATAAATAAACTTATTCACAAAGCTCGAAATTGGATTAAACATATTTTCTTTCTGTGTAACTGTCTCCCTTTTTGAGCACTCTTACAATTTTGCTATTGTATTTTTTTTTCAAAATTACTCAACAGGTAAATATACTTCTCAAGAGCACTTCGAAGTTCATTCCGCGTGCTGGTTCGGTTAATATAAAATTAGAATGCTTAATGAATAATTTTATCATTCGTCAAATTCGTCCTAAGCATACTTTTCCACTATGAATGTATACGGGTAAAATTATAGTAAACCTTGTCAAAGGAATTTAGTTCTCTACTATGAAGCAGAAGATCGTGGTAAAAGGTATCATAAATAGGATGAAAGTGCTACTACTATTTAATAATCGTTCGGGACAGCAAATAAGATGAGGAAGTGGTGCGTCCGCGAGAGAGAAAGAGAAAAATAACTGGATTTATGGTACACTTGGAGTTTACTGTTGTCGTCAGCTTCGAGAATTTTCTTGGTGGCATAAAGGGATCCAATCTGGGGAGTCACTGGCGAAACGATTGGCTGGTCATTTGCTGGCTTACAAATATTGCAAATTTGCTTGCTTCGTGTCATGCTGCTAGACTATGGATACCTACTCGTAACATGCCAGACGGTGGGCTATGGTGTGATGGGGAATAAAACTGAGAATGACTACTGTTACACTATTCCTCTCTTTCCTCGTTCGTATATCTTACTATATAGATATCTATACCTTCTACGATCCTCCATTGCATCTGACATGCCACCAGTTTCTGGTACTGTTTATGCGCAAGAGCTGCAGAGTTATTTCGTCGTCGCACTTACACGTTATGTGCGTATGATTGGATTTCTACGTAAACACCCATCGTAAATTTTCCCTTTTACAACCCTTATTACGCGGCTTATATCGCCTATCCCGTGGGTAGGCACAGCTATCTTCAGTAAAAGAAGAAGCCTAAGGCTTTGGTTCCGAGCGCATTGACGCGTAGCCACGTAGCGGCGTTAACGTGCTATTGACAGTTTTTCAAGTTGGATTTTTGAGTGCGTACTATTGGGATTTTTTGTATAGCAATTATACAAAAAGGTGATTCGGTAAAGATTTTATGTTTTTCATTTAATATGTCTGTGTGGAAATGTTTACTGATGTTAACAAAAGTGTTGGCGGTAACCAGTGAGTGAAGTTGTGGGAGGCTCTGCGGGAAGGTAGGAGAGAATGGAAAAGGATAGAATGTTTCTACCAAGGGGGTGCTAATTAGGAATTAATGAGACGATATAAATAAGAAAGGTTACATCGAGAATATCGGGAGTATGTATTTTTGGTAAAATTGTAGGTATAGAGTGAGAGAGAGACAGACTTTACTTTCTTTTGCTACACTTTTCTTTGCAACCGCGCCCCGTCCAGGTTTCTAGACGCGGAGGTGGCGTGCGGCCTGAATTTACAGCATTTAATATCGGCAAAATGAAGTACGACCGCGAGAGGGCAGGCAAGGAGCCGCCATTTTGTGGCATCGATAAATCCCTTTTATTGCCACAGCTTGTAGGTGGCTGCTCGACTCCCGTGCGACTAGCCAGCTTTACTACACAATTCCTCGAATAAAAACTCACGCGAGTCCGTTGCTGCAGGTGTGTGTTTGGTTGAAGTGAAAACAAAAGGGAGGGGCGAGAGAGGGAGGGGAGGGAATGGATTTCTCTCTGAAAACTTTTTTCCAATTTATCCCCAGCCTGCCGTAGACTCCTTTCTGCGCTACTACGTTCGGATTGGCCGGCATATTCTTAATCGTCTTCAGGTCGTGATCATAGCGCAGCCAGGTCTGAAGTCTAAACCCTCTTTTTGGTATTCTCGCCGTTTGCAGTATTTAACAAGGAAACGAGAAGAGTGGCAGGAACGAAATTAAAGCATCCCGTAAACTCAGAGGATTTCCATGTTATAGTCCTGCAGGATTAGCTTTGCCGAGCAATTTGGTCAATGCGACGGCTATGGTATCTGGGACCAAGACATATTTCCAGCAATTAAATGCCCCTGTGGCCTGTACCCTTAGCTTGGGATAACTGTCTGGAGTAAGAAGCAGAAAGAAACGAGGATCCAGGGAAAGGATGATACCAGGTCGGGATAAAGGGATGAATATATAAGGCAGGAAAGGTGGATGAAGTCAGACTGAGTATAAGGGAAGAAACGAGAAACGGAGGCAGCGGACGACTTGAGTGGGATTATTTATTAGTTTTTAAGTTGGTTACGTTCCGCGTGCTGGAATTAATGAAAGAAAAACAAAGTAGGCTCGGAGACGTTGAGGGTTGCTTAATGCCTACCAAGGGAGGACGAGGGTCAACTCGAAGGACTGTCCTCTGCGTTCACTCTATTCCATCGTAAGGGCAAGGACCGGTAAAGAGGGTAAGGAGAGTAGGACGGGGATGAGAAAAGACAGGGGGCAAAAAGTGCTGGAAACAAAACTGAGGACCACGCCTAAAAGAACGAAGAAGGGTATATCTTTATATATAAATATAAATCCATGGGGACGTTTATGATGACGATAAAGTAAAATGCGGCGGTCGATTTTAAGCCGCTTTAAATTGTTTCAAGAGTGGCTTCCCTTCTCTTTCCATTGTGACTGCTAGCACCTTTTGATTATACCCTTTGATCCTTTCTCTTTCTATTAGTCGACCCTTCTACGCCTCTGACGCATCATCGCAACTTCACGAGGATTTTAATTTCTGTCTTTAATTCTTTTAATCGGCATAAAGGGTACGCGCGACCCATCCCGGGCAACCGGCCGACCAATAAACCCTCTTCGTCGCCTCTCCTTCGATTTTGGAATGCTTTTAGTAACTCTCTTTTGTGCGTCAGCTTTAACAATTTTATGTCCCAACAACCTTAGGCCATTCCGCGCAAATACCGAATATCTATTTTCGCCACCAAAGGCCGAGGCCACAACCTTGCCGATTTAGAAACTCTCACGACAGTCTCTGCGCAGCGAATACGGACGCTTATGCGAAACGCTGCTATGTCAAACAGTCGGAATTTCAATAGCGTACGATTGAGAGTAAACGGCAACTGCGATCCGGGTAAACTTTTCCGTAAATAAAGCCATTGTCCAAAACTTCTCTTATTAATAGGATGTTAAGGGCTGGCTAATAAAATGATTACCGAAATGTGAATTTCGAGGTAAGAAAAGCATGGGGTGTGCCATGGTAAAGTTTCACAGCGACGAGAGAGTGCTGACCGTCGAGTGAGACATTCGAAGAGAAACCAGAGAGTGAGAGCGCGATAAAGGCGAGAGAGAGAGAGAGAGAGAGAGAGAGAGAGGGAGAAACGATGGAAGATGGCGAGAAAGGGAGGAAATTGGGAAAACAACGATTATGCCGAGGACAATGGCTCCCGGTGTGTTTTCATTAATTAATAGCCGAGCTCCGCACTAGCATCCACTCTTTGTGCGTCGCAAATTGTCCCTAATTTCGAAAGGGCTAAGTAGCCGAATCCCCTTCCTCATCCCTCTCCTACTCGCGCAAGTAAAATTTTACTCAGGCAGGAGAAAGATCCAACGATTTTAGAATAGCTTTCTTTCCCCCTGCACAAAACGACAGAGCAAACAGGACGAAGAAAATTACAGAAAACTCTGCAGCACTCGCAACTCCGATTGTGTCCATCCCCTTTCTTCGACCCCCTCGGCCATTCCCTCTTCTTCCGAGTTACGTCTTATCTTGCGCTTCGTTTATTCGGGCGCATTTCACAAGTTAAACTCGGTACTTGTATCGCGAGCGTAAATATTAGAGATCGTACATACATAATGCTCTATACCGTACGTATTCTGTATAGGGACTATGCTGGTACCCATGTACGTATATATATAGGTATACGGAGTACGCTTTAGCAGGCGCTGATTCGCGAAATTTATTTGAGGAAAGTTTCCTCGTTAAAAACATATACCCTCCGCCGAAGAAAACAATGCGAGAAACTGTATCCAGCGAATAGATAAAGGATGAGGGAAGTACTGTGCTTGTATGTACAAAGGTACAAGTTACCTAGATCGCTTGCAGTCTTCCTTTACGTATACAGGAAACGATTGGTCGTTCTATAACTTTGTTGAATTCCCGACAATTCGTTTCCGGGTTACTTTTAAGCTATTTTCGATAAATTGTTATTATCGAGTCTGGACCGCGAGTCATTCCGAAACAGTCTATATACACTGCTGCGTGTAACCGCAAATATTTCCCGGTTAAATGGCATTCCGTGAACGAGCAGCCAGGACTACATATATATTCCTCAAATTGGATCAGTAGCGCTGTACAATATCACGATTCCGCGCAGCATTTCTCTTTTGAAATTAAGATGTTGTCACGGAAACTGGGAATAAGGAATAGTGATAAAGGGAATTGGTTGAAACGGGGTGGCTCCGGAATGGGTAGGTATAGGTTGAGCTGGGGATGACTTCGAATGCCGATCTCGCCTGGTATAATAAGGGGAAGGTCTGAGGGTGGTAAAGAAGTGAGTGAAAGAGCGAGCGTCTATACCACCTAGACGGGGAACGTCAGTGATTACATTTTTCCATTACCGTAAATATTCCGACTGCCAATTTGCATTTATATAATATTATTTATTCGATTGTTGGTTTAAACTTGCAGCTTGTATTGGGATGACGTAGCCGCTACTGGTGCTGCGGCTCGCGGTGGTTGCGGGAAGTAGAAAATAATGTATCAAAAGTGGTATAATAAACGTCCACCTGCCGATACAATTAGCTTTGTTCGCTGCTTCCTAATATTATTTATTCTTGTTATTAAAACCATTTTTATTTGTATGAATTATGCAAAAACCCTTGAGTTTTAACGAGAATACTCACTGCTCCGTTTCTTGTTGTAATGACATTTGACTCTTTGTACGGCTGTAGCTTGTTTATATACGACGTACCCATAAAGAATGCCATCATATAACGTAGCCTTTTTTTTAATACGTATACAAGATTTTCTAAATTTAAATAGGAGGTAAAAGTGGTACTTTTTTTTATTCTATTTGACGACATAGGATATTATAGTACAGGTT